TAAATCCTTTTTTACACTTGCTTCTTGTGTATTGATATATTATTAAGTTAGGCTAACATTCCTTCTTTTCTAATCTTGATAAAGTAAATTATTAAAGCAACAACAAAATTTATATTGTTTATTGGAGAGTAGCCTCTATGGTCGTGATGCATGATCTTCTTACTCTTTACAAACATTAATTTCATCTGTCATCGTCATCTGCTGGTACAATTAAGTGTTCGAGGTTATATTTTCTATTTTTATATGAAATTTTGCAGTTTCTGGTCATTTTAAGGACTTAAGTTATAGCTCCAAAATTGCTGTATCGCGGACTTTGGATAAAAAATTACGGAATTAGGAGATAGTAGGAAAATTGATTGTTGATAAAAAGGACTTAACAATTCATTTTTTGGTCATAATATAACCTGAAGCCATAATTTTGTTGAGAAAATTGTACACAATTATATTGGTAAGAAATATTTGTTCCAAAAGTCGTACCTAGTAACTTAGTTTTATTTGTTACTAGCTGTAAACCGCGGGCTTTGCCCCGTTTAACTTCTTAATTTTCAAAATTATCTCGTTCTCATGGCTCAATCACGTCCTGGTTGAAGTTTGTTCGCTACGCTCACTCACCTTTAGGTTGGAGCTCGTTCGCTACGCTCACTTACCTTTAGGGTTGGAGCTCGTTCGCTACGCTCACTCATATAAGGCATTTTCAAGAGAACCTTTCTTAACCCTTCACAGACGGTTGACGGATATAAAGTCTTTACTAAGTCTTTGGCGTGGTCATTTTAAGGACTTAAGTTATAGCTCCAAAATTGCTGTATCGCGGACTTTGGATAAAAAATTACGGAATTAGGAGATAGTAGGAAAATTGATTGTTGATAAAAAGGACTTAACAATTCATTTTTTGGTCATAATATAACCTGAAGCCATAATTTTGTTGAGAAAACTGTACACAATTATATTGGTAAGAAATAATTGTTCCAAAAGTCGTACCTAGTAACTTAGTTTTATTTGTTATAAGGCAATTTCAAGAGAACCTTTCTTAACCCTTCACGGATGGGTGACGGATATATCCGCCTAAGTCTTTGGCGATAAAGGACGGGTGGCGCATATTTCCGCTTATGGTTTATGATGTTCTGGACGGGATGCGGATATATCCGCCTTCTTTTCAGACAGACTGGCAGATGCTTGAGCAGTAACCAGATGTTTCACGGTACCAAGGCCCCACTTTCCTGCTCTCTCCATGGCTGCGCTCTCTCCCGCACTCCCCCCTCTCTGTATGTGGCTATATAGTTTTGCCATTAATTATGAATCTGCTATTTACTGTCTCAACTGTACTTTGAATGTACAAATCATCATACGATCAGCTGACTGTTTGTAAACGTTAGGCTATATTTCATTTTTTATTGTAGTTCTTTCTTAATACAAAAGTGTTTCATGATTTAATCTCTTCTTTTAATTACCTTATTTTGTGTTAGTATATTTATATAAGGCACAAGCCTTATTTTCTCTCCCGAACCTACCCCTCTCCCACGCCTTCCCCTCTCCTGTGCACCACCCACCTCTCCTTTGCTCCCCCTCAACGTTTCGCGCTCAACACTACGTTGTCTTTATTTATTGTTTAGGCCTAGATATTGTCCTTTATTGCCTAACATTGTCACTGGTCTCACCGGTCATCTTCAAAGACGGTTGGCGGATATATCCCCTGCTTTTCTACTCATCCGCGGACGGGTAGCGGATATATCCGCATAGGTAAACGAGTAAAAAATTATTTTGACAGTAAGTTATGAAGTGTTCCATTGTGTTTATTTTATGTATACTTGTATAACAAAACACAATTAAGGAAAATTAATTTTTATTTTTCCTATAATTTTCTCCCGTTTTATGTCACCATTTCGCTTGTCAGGGTTAAGGTCACGGTATTTGGGCAGTTTTATTCGTTAAATTTAATGCTATTTAAATAGATTAAGTAATTGGAAATCAATTTAGACAAATAGAAATTCGCTTAGTCGGCAGATTTTTTGCGGCCGGGGTAGGCCTAAGTTATATTTTAGTAAAATATTAATAGCAAGATTGAATAGGTAATTAATAAAATTTAAAAAAAGATTTGATAATTAATGCAAAGATTGATCAAAATACATCCATAAACAAGCAAACTTAAGCATTTTACAATATTCTCTATACAAATAATATAGGAGTTTTAAATTTACAAATTTTTGAATTTTCTCCATTAGGTACCAATAACTGTACAAAAACACTTTGATACAGGCCTACTAAAATATTGTTTTTTTTAGTTCTTTTTTAAAAGGTCTAAAAGACCAATTTCGAAATTTTATGTTTTAAGGGTTAAAAATTATAGAAAAACCAATTTTTACCCCATAAAACCCCCCGTGAAACCCCGTTCCCTTGGTCCCATCATGCTGGTTCGCAAACTCATTTATTTATTTATTGCCAACGGATTTCACCAATTTACAATAAGAATTACAATAACAGTGAGATACTCATCAATGACTAAATATTAAAACTAAGTAACAATGCGAAACTGATGAACAATACAATAGGGATACATGCAAACTCTAAGACAGAAAAAAAACTACTTAGGACCTAGGAGTAACAAGACATAAATAATACAAGACATACGGTAAATGAATAAATAGTAAAAAAGTTTGAGTCTAAGAAACATGTCTGTACTTAACAGAGACAAGTGAGACTAACCTAGGAAATATAACAATAAATATAAATTCAAATATAAACTCATTCAAGTTTATCCCACCTTACACCATTAAACCAAATTTCACCAAAATCGGACAAAAATTAACTTAAGTTATCGTTTTCATAGGACACACATAAGTTAACTTATAGGCTATAGCCTAATAGGTAGGCCTACATGAGTTATATAGCCTATATAAAAATTTTAAAGAATGAGTGTTTTTAGCCTCAGGGGACATTATAAAATGAAAAAGTAAATCGGTCCCGGGCCTAGGTCTTACTGTGCCATCTACAGTAAGTTAATAGACTAAGCCTACTACTTAACTTAACACACTAACAGTAGCCTAAGTTAGGCCTAAGTTAATAGCCCTAACTTAACTTTTAAGGGAAATTCCCTAGTGTTTAGTTTTAAGTTAACAAATAGGCCTATTTTTTCAGTACTGGTAGGCCTATAAAAGCCAGATAAAAGTAAAATTTGAAGTTTTCTCATTTACTTAGTCTAACTTAAAAAATTAAGATAGGCTACTTTAAGTTAAAAATACCGGTATGTCATTGTTCATAAGTTAAGTTAACTTATTCATAAGTTGTTCATAGGCTATAAGTTAAGTTATTGGCATTGAGTCACAATGAAAAACATTAAAATGAAGCTGTGTGTTTTAGTGGTTTTGGTTTATCGTGAGATTGAAAATCCCAAGGTAACTTATGATCGGTTCTGATGATCATCTAGGCTAAGTTTATGGCCTTTTAACAGGGCTGCTTCTGGTCTCAGCTAAGACTACCGTAGGCCTATCTGTCAATTAACTTAATGGTCCTGGCTTAAGAATCACCTGACCTTCATCGGAAAAGCTCATTACGTAGGCCTACCAGTAAGAATATCATCCATTCCCCACCTCAATTTTTCACTTATCATAATTTAAGTTAGCCTTTAAGTAAGTACCGGTAGGTAAAAGTAATTTTAACAAATCTTAAAATGGGACTAACTTAACTTACTATTAGGATGTCGAATTTGTAAAAAAGTGATAGGTACCGGTAACTTATTAGCCTATAACCTACAATCTAGCAAACCTATAAGACTGGGGCCAGTTTATTCTTTGTATTAGCCTATTTATTTATTGTGTGCGTGTGACAGTAATGTCTTCTACCTATGTGTTTGTACTCTGACGATGCTGTCTTATCGGAGAAGCAAGTAGGCTAGGTTTTTAACCTATCATCAAAAACCTTTGGATTACTTGACGAGGTAATTATACCACAATATTAAGTTATAGGCCTGGTCATTCATAATCCAGGGGCCATCAACATGGAATTTAATTTATTCTTTGCCGTATCAAGAGGCTAAGTTTATTAAGTAGTCAAGCCAATGTTATTTTCCATCCTTATAGTCATTACGGTATCCACCGTTACATAGGAGTAGTCAATTTATTTACATATAAATTTAGCCTATTTACAAAATGTATTTATTGTTAAATCACATTCCATACTGTTGGTAATCCACAGAGCTGACACAAAAAAAATTAACATATTGGACAGGTTAGTTGTAATGTCTAGCCTGACTGTAGCCATGCTATATACACATGACAATTGTCAATGCATTTTTGTAATGTCCAATGACAAATAAATATTTCTGATTCTGATTCAACTGTCTGGTACATGCGTTAAGGAAAACATAGGCAACCTCAGCTGCAGAAACCAACTTCATAATTACAACACGAGGAGGAGAAATTTTAAACACTCCTTTCTGCAGGCTGAGCAAGCAAAAAGACTGCTTTCTTGTCCTTGGCATTAGGCTCTACAACCATCTGGACAAGAACATAAAGTCACTCCCTCTCTGGAATTTTAAAAAGAAAGTCGAGGAACTACTAAAGGCACGGCCTCTCTATTCCATTTTAATGAATATTTTGTTGAGGAAAGTGATGAATGGATCTCATTACCTACTGCCATGTTAACCAATTCTAAAGTACCGTAGGACTAGGCCTATTAAAACTTTATTTTTACCAAATCTATCCAGTCATTACTGGTCAGCGATGGATGTATGGTTTAAGGTATAAGGGTAAGGATGAAAATTTGACAGCCTAGATAAATAGAATTTGCTAGAACTAAACTTAGGCTAGCCTTAGGCCTAAGTTAAGTTAGGCCAAAGTTAAGTGTGTTTTCGAAGTCCATTTCTGCAATTGCATGTTGCATGTATAAGTTTAGTCTATAGGCCTAGGAACGGGGAAAATAAATAATTTCAAAATAAAATAATGTAGCTTATTTCAGAGCTTAACTAGGGAATACCTATTTTGACATTAGGCCTACGTCCTACTTACGTGCAACAGGTGGAGGCAACAAACTCAATACTTTTTCAGCACTCAAGAGTAAGTAGTGCCAGGGCCAGAGTATAGTGCCTGATGCCAAACTAAATGCCAATTATTGTTCCAAAATCAACCAAAGTGAAAGCATCGAGAAATAAAACAAACCAAACGGAATCAACCTTCTAGTTCTATGTTTCAAAATTCAAACTTCAAACCAAACCAACAAGCACCAGCACCACCATCTCCGTCAGTCAGTAGTACCACCACCACCGCACCGACCACACATAAAAAAAACATTTTTCGTATTTTTCTTAAAAAGTGGTAGGCTTGAAGTTTCTCAGTTAGGCTACATAACAAAGGAAATGATATTTCTGATTTATACATTACATCGTTGTGACTTTTGAATACTTCTGGCATAGATGAAATCATTGACTATTGCCATGGATAAAACATACTCCCTTAAGACTTGTCTACCGTAACAATCTAACCATGACATGTCAACGCCTAACGGAGTATGTTTTATCTATGCTATTGCATACTAGCATAGCCTTCTCTTCGGTGTGTATTAAAGGTGGCTATAGTCTATGCTGCTTATTCTGTCAATTAATTATTTTAGTCAAAGATTTAACCAACTACAAAAATCGGCGTTCTTTTTCAACATTAAGAAGTTATAATGAAGAATTATAATTTCTAATGTAGGACAAATGCATGACCATAACACTGGACAGTGTAATGATTTTTTCAGAGTGAGAAGACATTTCAAAAGGACAGAGAATAAATAGCCTTTACCACATTGTCAACCAGGTACCATTGTACCAGGTTGTCAAGGGAACAATTTTTTCAATAAATTACCAAACTGCATAAAGAAACTAGAAGGTAAAAATTTCAAAATGGAATGAAAAAAATGGCTTATAAATAAATGACCAGACAGTCTAGAAATGATTTTTTAAGTTGAAGGTTCAACTATTGTGTAAGTAGATTGGTTTGTTTGCCTCAACAGGATTGTTTTATTAAAGTAGAAAGCATGGTTTTGTTCTTTCTAACTTAAGTTTGAGTGTTTTTGCATGGTTTGCACTGATGATATGCTACTTATTTTATAATCTAAGTATTTTGACGATTGCAATGCGTGTTATATGATGTTACAAGCAATAAAGAATGACATTTCATTTCATTTTTTAAGCGAATGAAAATTAATTGAAAAATGTGCCTCAGACACCAAAAGATAAATAACTTTAAATTAGTTAGGATTAAAAAAATATATAGACTTGTATGAAGTTTATTTAAAGCTAACTTATCAAAGAAAGTAGAAAATATCGACACATGTGTTCCAGTACAGTACCAGATAGTTTGGCTACTGTACTGTTATGTTGACATTTCATGGTTGGCCATCATGCACTCCGAAGCCCACAGTCCTACTTTATGCCGTAGATAAATCATTCTCCTCAAGGACACATGGTTGAGAATGTTTTATTTGTTTATGCCCGGAACACTCGGGGCGACTTCGGATCACCTGCACCCAACTTGAATTGGCCGAATGGCGAATATGCCCAGTAATTGCTCTGAAATGAAATTAAATGAAATGACTTTATTTGCTTTTAACATGAAAAACATGTATTTGCAATCGTCAATGTTAAAGTCACTTATCATACAAACGCAAACCATGCAAAAATACAGATTTCGGTTCAAAACCATGTGTTCTACTCTACTCACACAATAGGCATACCTTTTTTTAATCGAAATCCTCAAGTCTAGCTGGACATTTATTAATTAGCAAAATTTTAAAAACACTTTTGAATTTTTTACCTTTCAGTACTTTTGTTGACTTTGGTAATTTATTAAAACATATTGCTCCCTTGACATAAGGACTATTTTCTGTTCTCTGGAAATTTCTCCTCACTCTGAAAAAAAGCATTACCCTGTCTAGTGTCATGGTCATGTATTTTTCCTACATTAAAAACCAAATTACCAGAACAACTGCTAAATTTAACCAAACATATACCAGATACATACATATAGCGTTCAAAGTCATAATACTATGTGCCAAAAATGACTTTACTTGGAGTCCTCGGGCTAACTTTTGCAACTAAACGTAGAGCTTTGTAACACAAAAATCCTTTTGGTATATGAATGGAAAGAACCTCCCCACAAGACAAGTCCTTATAAGCTAAATATGGATATACCAATCCAAAATAAACAGACCTTAAAGTTTCACTGTCCAAGTAGTCTGACAGCCTTCTTAACAGAGAAATTCCACTCAAAACCTTAGCAGCAACATGATCAATGTGTTTGTCCCATCTAAAATGCTCGTCAAAAAATATACCGAGAAATTTTACAAAAATCATTACCATCCATAGTCATATCTTCACATGCAATGCTAAGAGCTGGAACATTGTGACCTATTGAGAAATTAACAAGATCAGTCTTACTTACGTTTACCTATAAATCTATTTCTAAAAAATAAGCATTGGCAGCTTCTGCAAAATTTGTTAATATAGCTTTGAGATTTGCCATATTGTTTGCCCAGCACAGCCCAGATGTGTCATCTGCATACATACATGCAAAAACATTATCCATAACAATAAAACTATTTACATAGAATATATACAAAAAAGGTCTTAAAATTAAGCCTTGTGGGACCCCTGATGTTACCACCCGTGTTTCAGACATGTTCTCTCACCGTCGTGCCATCATCAAAAGAAACTGTGGTGCATTGTTTGCGATATTTTAGATAAGACTCCACCAGACTCACTTACCAACCTGGAACTTTATAACCAATCAGTTTAGCCAATAAACCCGGGGTCAACCCGATCAACCCTTCGAAAGGTCTAGCAGAAGCGCTGCCACTTTACAACGCTCATCAAGTAGCTCTGGGGCAATGTTTTACAGCACAACATAACTTATTATGCGGTGTCACTGGGAACAACCGTATCACGGCCGCGGCCTTCGAAGGGGCAACGTCCCAAGTAAGGTTGTAACAGCAACAGCTGTTTTATTTGGAAGCAGCTAATGGTATTTGTGTATTTACGAATTAAAGCTTGGTTACTGGACAATGAAAATATTGACTCCGCTTTAAATGTAGAGATATTAATTTTCAATTCTGTATGTTTTATTTGAAATATTTTGATAAATTTATGTTAATAAATTTTAATAAATAAAGTGCTAATTGATGAGCTGATGTCACCTGTCTACCATGTTATCTTATGGGACGTCTGGGGTCTGACGCTAAACAACGTTGCCAATTAATTCTATTAGGCTGCAGCCTGGAGTAAAAGGTGGCCATGACAGTAAGTATATATAATCCATCGCTTAGCTAACTTTTATGACCAGCATTAATTCGGCCATTTTGTCAGTTCAAAAAATGGTACCCTGATCCTCCAGAAAATAGTCCTAAGGCATAACCAACTGTGCTAAAATGAGCATATAGGTCAATTTTTTAATGAGTTAATATGAACCTTTCTTTTAAACCTTCCTAAACCATTCCCACGATTCTAATAAACAATAAAATACCTTTAACCTCTTCATACATGCTATATGAAATAACACTTAAACAAATTTTTTGATACCATTTTCGTATTCAGGAGGTTCAATTTAGTGGGTGTACACTTTTTTATTATGATACATGATATTTTTTATATAAATAAATAGCTGGCCACAAATGTGTTTCATAAAATGTAAAAGTGGATGTAATACACTTGGTATATGGTCTTACCTTATCTGCATGAAGGCCACATATGTTGCCACTTGTATGTACCAACAATACTTCCACTAATGCATACTGTCCACATATGTTGCCACATAAGTTAAATGAGTAATTAAAAATGTAACAAGGTAAAAAAATTACAAAAACATTGATTTCAACAAATTTTCAACCATACAAAATCTTAAACTAACAAAACAATCGTACTAAAAATCTTTCTTCTCTTACATTAATTTGTAAATATTTCTTAAAAAAAAACAATATTTTCTTACATACACTTTTAGTACCGTACTAAATAGAGTCTGTTCTTCTTTTGCCTGCTTATAATTCTTCAAAATTCAATGTATGATTCTCTTCATAAAAATTGAAATCTTCCACACCGGTACACTCCGGACAAAAAGGTTCCTGACATTTTCCATGGATGAAGCGTGTTCGACTACGGCACTACTTGTCATGACATCTTGGGGCATTTTCACTTCAACTTTTGTAGGATAATGATCTTTCCCATCAAATTTCCTTGATAGAGGTGCTTTCTGAAGTGAATTCCTCTTCTTGGGGGCGGATTAAATGATGATGATGAAATTCTTGGTCTTCCTCGTTTCTTAGTGTTCATCAAACTTAAACCATAGGAGATGAGCTCTTCTGCCAAGTCTGCCTTGAAATTTAGTAAATGGATATCTAGGATCTTTTTGGCCCTAGTGATAAAAACTACAATATTTTCCATCAACTGTAAATGTAACAATACATAAGATATAATTATTATAATAAATAATACATTTTAATAACTTCTAATTTTATCAGCCCTAAATAATAATCTCTATCAAAGTGAACATAGATAACATACAATATTAAACTTTAGTTCACTTTTAGCTTAACTAATTTTTTAAAAATCCAGATTTGCCAGAACGAATAAAACTATAAAAACGGATTTTACCCGGTTTTGGGTCAAAGAAGAAATATCAAAGAACAAAGGAAAACTACCACAAGAACAAAGAAGAATATCAATCAGTGACGTCATGGATCCGGACGTACTATCTATCTGTATTACGCATAGACGTAACCACAGCCACAGCGTTTTGTTACTCTAAGCAATAAGGGTGTACTCTATCTCTATGCACTTGTCCACGAACTAGAAAAAAAATACCATGTGCTTTTCTTAAAAATAACCTCCTACCTAACCTAACTTCTGTCGTTCTGGTTTTGTTGAATGTTGGATCTCCAAGTTAAAGTTTCCTCAGAGCCATCCTTCTTCATATCAATCAAACCAACACAACTAACAACATACCGCATTGGGATTTTATACCTGAATTTGTCTTTTGTAAAAAAAACTGATCAGGTATGGTAGATAATTTATACTTAAAAAGTACTATAATTTGTAAAAAAAGATATTAAAAATAATGGTGAAGTCTAGATGTACCTAGTATATTTTATTTATTTAGGCCTATTTCATACGGAAACACCATTATTAAAATAATATACATTGGCAGATTGCACTGTTTTGCATAAAAATATAATAATAATAATAATAAAATGATTGGACAAAAATCATTTAGGCCTAGGCCTATTCTTTACCATATATTCTGTTCATATATTCTGTAGGCAGAGGATACGCGTCCGGTAACCGGACGTGGATTAGACGTCCGGCAATTACTGTCATAACCTAACCTAACCAACCAAACTTGCTGATAGTGAAAAAATCGAATTAAGGTGAAATTCTTTCTCTATAAAAAAAATTATTAATGCCAAAAATTCTAATAAAAGATGTACAGTTAAGAATAAATGGTATTCAATGCAAAACTCTTCGACAAAAAGTTAAAGTCATCAATGGGATTCGAACCCTGGACCTCTTGCATATCAGCCGAGCACCTTATCCACTACACCACGAACACCGATGGCTGGTCATTGTATTGTTGTGGTAAAGGCGTTCCAGGCTCCCGCAACCCCATGACGTCATTGCCGTACGCCTTATCCACGTCCGGTTACCGGACGCGTATCCTCTATGTATTCTGTATGGTATATTCTGTACCAGCTATGCCTAGCCTATGTTGAGCTGTTCACCTATTCCTATTGTTATTCTTAAAAAAAAGCTCCATAAACCGTCTTAGACAACACTTGTTGCAAGTTAGTAATAGATTGGGTAGTAGTAGATTGGGGAGTGGGATTTTTTATCCCTTATCCCTATTTGTGGAAATTTTTTCAAACATTTGATCACACCTACCATTTTCATAACTTGGTCCTAAGCCTAATTAGGCGTACTTAAAGAAATAGGCCTAGGATCAAAACTGTCAAAACTCACAATAGGCATTGGACTTAACCTACATTTGGTTCAGTTTTTTTTTTGTAAATAGGCTACTCATACTAGTTGACATACAACTAACTTTAGTATGATTCAATTCAATGATTTATTTGGCCACTAGCAGAGTAAGTACCCGTCCTTCGTACGGGGTTGGAATAGGCCTATAAGTTAGTATAAAATGCTTATTACAGTTATCCTCTAGCTTTGCGTTTGCAATTAGGGAGGACACAGTTTGATAAAATTTGTTTTTTTTTAAATTTACAGTATTCTATAGTATTACACATCTACCATAGGGCCTAGCCATAATGTTCTACCACATCACCTAAACAATAGAGAAAAATAAATTATTAAAAATTTATAAACAAGCTGGAAGATAGGCCAGAGATTCATTCCATAAATTCTGATATGACTTCAACACATTGTGAAATGCCAACATTTGATGGGCTGAGTAACCTAAAGCTAACCTTAAAACTAAGTTTACCAGCTAACAGTTCCTCCCCCTTCAAGTAAAATTTAGGTCCAGTAGACAAACTTAGGATGACATGTTGATGGTCAGCAATCTGGTCTCTGCTAACCCAAGCACGATAGTTCCAGCAGTCAAAGTTGGTTAAGAATGTGTCCAGAGATGCTTTACCTCTTGTTGGCTCAATAATACTACTATATATATTGAAACTACGTAGTAGGTTTAAAAAATCACGAGCCTCACTTGTAGGCTTTAGTAAATCTATGTTATGGTCAGTTCCAATGACCACAGAGAGACCAAGAGTGGTCAGATAATAAAGACACTGGTTCAGAAGTCTTAAGAAAGTGACAATACTACCACTTGGTGACCTGTACATGGTAACAACAACAAGAGATAGTTCATGTATTGCTACAGCTGCAAATTCACCTTGCACTTCAATAGAAAAGTTACTCAGGTCCAAAGGTATACAGGTTAGTTTATTGCACACAAACAATGCCACACCACCCCAGGGGCGTGAACGACAAAAGTGGGATAAAGGTTGAGATTTGAAATTTTACTATAATAGTCCATTTCATCGTTTACCATCCAATGCTCTTGAATACATGGAATGTCAATTTTTTGTTCCATGCACAGAATTTCCAAAAGAGGAATTTTGTTTCTCAAGCTTTGGGTATTTACAGCACAAAAGTTAAAGATATTCACAAGCAGCACTGGGCTGACAGATCACTTCCTTTTCCCTAAAAAAGTACGAGAGGGCACGTAGTCTCGGTTTTGTCTGGCCTAACCTCAAACTCCTTAACTAAGGCACCTACTGGCCAAAAGGACAAATCAAGAACCCTGGTAATCTCCGCTGGAGATATTCCTAATTTTAAAAGAACTGTACGAGTCGTACTTGGTATTTAATTTCACACACTCACCAGCTATGTTACTGTCTTGGAGGTATGAGGTAATTTCATCAGGTTTAGTGTCACTGGCCAATCTAGAAACGAACACCCAACTTTTCCTCTCAACCGCCCTAACCTTAGATTGGGAGTAGTTCTTCGTTTACTTATTAGGTAGGCTACCAGTACATAAAATTATGTATAGTCGAGTTACCTAACTTATTGTGACTGTTGTCATCAGATGTTAAGTTACCATTGTCATTGTTAATTTTCACATCTTTTAGCGAATTTCCCATAGCCTATAGGGAATAAGCTATTATCGTAGTAGGCCTACTCATGGTAAGACCCGGGACCGATTTACTTTTTCGTTTTGAGGTCCCTAGAGGCCAAAAACGCCATCCGTTCGAATTCACATATATATATTTATATATATGTGTCCGTTAGCATGACGGTAACTTGAGCAAAAATGATCCGATTTTGATGAAGTTAGGTATAAACGTGTAAACCTCTGTCAACGGCCAAGAAAAAACCTGGGTCGATCTGTGTATATATATATCCTTGATTCTGCCTGTAGACCTAATCAGCCTTTCCCCGACCCTTAACAACATTTACCAAAAATACATAGGCCTAACTTATATGCCTACTTTTCAAATATACTGAGAAAACACTGTGAATTTAATTTTTATGTTTGAGTAAGGACCCTGAATGTGTAACTTAACAGGTTTATACTAAATGGTTTATATTACCTGGCTTTGTCAAGTGATCCTGCTTCAGTAGTTTACTACTATAGTTTCAGACTTAAAAGTCCATCTTCAGGTAGGAACAAAAACGTCGATAAGTCAATATGTCATCACTCATCTTCTGGCGTCGCCACACGTGTACCCCCTGATTATTTACACTGGCTAGTTTGTACAGTAGGCTATTATATTTGTTTTTTATATCTTTTCGTGTTTGTGTATGTGTTCTAAGTGTAACAACGAATCTAACCACATTGGTTGGATGACTTATTGACTAATTTTACTAGAATTAATTTACGTAATCAATTTACTCTATAATGCTTCAAGACTATATATATTTGTATTTTATTTTTTTGAAAAATTGTAAATTTTTATATATTGTGGAAATAAAATTGATTTGATTTTTTGATTTTTTGATTTTATTGACGTTTTTGTTCCTACCTGAAGATGGACGTTTAAGTCTGAAACTATAGTAGTAAACTACTGAAGCAGGATCACTTGACAAAGCCAGGTAACATAAACCATAGCTTAAATTTAGTGATCCAGAGGCTACCTCACCATGAAATTAACAGGTTTATTGGGACTGGAATTATGCATTAAAAACTCATCGCTTGTATAAACTTAACAAACTGTAAATTAAAATTAGTGACACACTTAAGTTGGATGTGACCAACTTAATTAAGTTTTAGGTAAGTTAGGCCTACCCGGAAGTTACTGCTAGAGTTTATAAGATCTACTTATTAAAAGCTTAAAATAATGTGCCTTTTTGATTAAACTTAACCACGGTTAGCAAATTTTATATAACTTATGGATGCGTAGTAAAATAGTTAGTTTAAAAAAAAATTATCAGGATAGGCCTAGATCTGGATAATACCAAATTACCTAGTAAAACATATTACCTTTTAAAACTAATAAAAGTGATTCTTTAAAATGATAGAACAAAACTGAATTTTATAATCGTAGAACAATACAAAATGTAAACATAAACATTTTACAGATGATTCAGATAATTGTTTAAAAGAGCCAGGTAATGTGAATATATTACACCTAGTAGGCTATGAACTATTTTTGAACAAACTATTAAAGGTATAAAATTACCTGAGTACTGCCAGAGTGAACCTGTGTAGTCCTTACGGATTACGTGTTTCGAGGACTTAAGTCCTCATCATCAGATCTCGTAGAAGAATATTTAACACTGTCAGCTTCGAAAAGGTACCTGGACACTGGCAGTCATTATCTTGACCTGCAACTGTGTGCACACAGTCGGACATTGTAAGTTTTTGTTGGTATGCCTACTTGTTTTTGTTGGTAAAACGTCTACGTCTGTATATAATATGTGTCCGTGTTTCGTATTTAAACTCTTGACGACCTTTTCAAAGTGACAGTGTTAAATGTTCTTGTACGAGATGTGGTGATGAGGACTGAAGTCCTCAAAAAGCGTGATCAGTAAGGACTACACAGGTTCACTGTGGCAGTACTCAGGTAATTTTATACCTTTTATAGTTTGTTCAATTATTATCAATTATCAATTATTTAAGATGGGGACGCCACTATGTGCGTATTTTAACCCAAATATGAGTGAAGGATGAGTGTAGGATGAGTGGCGCGATCTTGTAGTCTTGTTAGTGACTAAGGCCGACATGTTCCTTAGACACAGCTGTTAATTAATAGCCCATACAGCTAATGGCAACTAAGGGACCTACAGTTTATTGTGGAATCCGAACCACATTTTTTCCTCGTAATTAACGAATTGGTCTAATTATTTAGGATAGTACTGTGGATAGTCGTAGTACTCACTAGTGCGGATTTAATCCACACCAGGTAGCATCGCATCCACAGTGCATCCCTATAATTATCCACAATTCGTGACCTCCTAGTAGCTGGATTACAGGACGACGCCACCCGTCCCAGTCTACCTTACTGTATTTTACTTTAATAAAAAATAGTATTGAGAAAGATAAAAAGATCAAGATAAAAGCCGAACAAGGTAAGAATTTAACAGTTGTTCAGTGCTCCAGAGACAAAACAACTCAACTATGAATATTTCTGAACAGTTCTTATCTTTTACACAATAATTAATGGAGATTCCTTTCTATTTCAGATTGAATGCTTTTAGGGAACAGCAAAATGAAACGGGGACCTGCTATCAATGATGACCATGTACATGATAGAAAGAAGATCAAAACATTCTCACCTCAAAAGGAAACAAAACAGAAATTTGAGAAAAAAACTTCATCAAAAATAAAAAATAGTATTGAGAAAGGTAAAAAGATCAAGATAAAAGCCGAACAAGGTAAGAATTTAACAGTTGTTAGTATTATCACAAAGACCAAGTTGGATAGGATATCTTATCTTTAGTTACTAACGAAACTTCTCTCGATCCAAAGGAGGGGTCACCAATCTTTTTTACCCGAGGTCCACAGTTATTAGGATTAAAATAGACTTACTGTACAAACGTACTTACGTTTCAAAATCGATTTGGACTTTGTCCTATGAATTTTCATAGTTTTAAGGTGAGTTTGAAATAAATTTCGTGAAAAAAACTATATGCAATAGACCTAATGTAATAGGGTGGCTTAAGGTAAAAAATTATAATTAAAGTAGCCTATACATAATATTGTCCGAGGCAAAGTAAAGTGGCGAAGCCAAATTTTTGTATAATGTCTTCGCAATAATATTTCTTAAGAACAATCACTATTTTCTGTATAGGCTTAAAAATCACTTCACCTTATGTCAGTTGACCGTTGCCTAGTTTTGATGCTCTATCTTTATTACTTTTTTCAATATTGAACCGTCCTGAAACTTTTTTCCGCTCATTATATACAAATGGATTTAATACAGTAGAACCTCTTTAATCCGAACTAATTGGGACCAGGGGTAGTTCGGACTATTGAATAGTTCGGATTACAGAACATATTGTTGTTTTTACATAGCAATAGCTAAAACATGGCTAAAATTGATCAACATTATTTTTGGGAAAGTGAAAAAATGTTTTATAAAGTAAAATTCAGTGTTTATTTATTACAGTAGTTAAACATGGTGAATAAAACATACTGTAAATTAAATACAGTATACAATAAAGAACTGCTGTACTGTGTATAGAGTACAGCAATGAGGGGTTCGGATTAGTGGACGTTCGGATTACGGGGGTTCGGATTAAAGAGGTTCTACTGTACTTGATAACTGTTAGCCTACTATACAAAACATTTATGCAAAAGGTCATTTAAGTCACAACTTTAGTGGGCTTACAGTAAGCAGTAAAAAAACATAAGTTGTCTGCTGAAGCCGACGGGCAAAAGCTAGTACTATATAATATAATATTGAATAACTATTTTTTTTAGATGGCCTCTTTTAATGCACAACTTAAACTAATACAGTTTTAAATATCAAGTTGCCTAACAATAAAAGTAACAACTGAATTGAACAATACTTTAAACCTAAACATAACCAAACACCTTTATGCATCGTCACTGTCTGAGCCGTGTCTTGTAGGCTCTAGCATCACAATTAGGCGTACCAACTAACTAGTCGTCTGCCAGGTTGTTTCTTGTAGGTGTCTCAAGCAGACATAATTAGAACTTCATGATATACGCTGCTGTACGCAATACTGGGTGTGGTGAACATATTTTATTTTGTTTCTGAAACAAAACAATATGTTCGTTTTTATTTATCTTCTCTTTTGTGTCGTCTCTCTGTTGCAAAGCGCAGGTACAGCATGTAGTAATTATAAATTTATAAATTTACATAGTTTGTTTTAACATTCTGAATTGATATCTATGATATTAAACCTTACAGGAACACTTTCATTGAAACAAAAAAAACTTACTGTCTCACCAAAGAATGGACTCTCTGGAAAACAGAAAATAAAAAACTCAATTAAAGACAATCTATTGAAAAAAGCTCAGTTTACCAAAGATTTAGCAACTGGAAAACAGAAAACCAAGATTAAAGGAGAATTCCCTACAGGTAAGGTTTAATATAGTTATTATACAATTACCTAGTTAGAATTAAATTGATAAATTACTTTAAAGAAGGGTTAATTCAACAGGGCTTTCATGGGTGGCTTTTTTTACAGACCAGTTTATGAACATTTAGTACAAAAATTTATTTTAACTTCATTAAAAGTTGGGAAGGTATGAGAAGTTTGACTAAGTTATATTCTTATTCTTATAATATTAATTTCCATAGTTTTATTAACAACTAGAGGTTGTCCAGTGGTCGAAAACTGGGGCGATAAAAATATAAAATAAATATAAAAAATAATATATAAAAAAAGCATTTCAAAGTAAATATAAAACATCTTATTAAATACAATTATTAACAAGAACTGTATAAAACTCAATTCAAACATTTCATAATGTTAGCATTGAACTAAACAAAAACATTGAATTAAACAAACATAATAATAATTAATTCTGAACATCTGTGAATCTTAATAACATATGTAACAGTGGTCCCCCCCTTAAAGTTTTGTGCGTAGCATCTGGTCCACGTGTCGTCTCCAAGTTTGACCATCATCCATTCTAACGTAATAATGAAGATTACCATCTTTAATTTCAACTGTTCCCAAGGCCCACTTGTCTCTTCCTGAATAATTTCTTACTTGTACGCGGTCCCCAGGATTGAATCTTCACATTATACCTTTTGGACTGGTAGGTTCGTGTTTTCCCCGAGGCTTTAGTAGACTTAGATAAGTGCGAATCTTTCTATTAAACATGAGGAAATATGAAGAGGTTCCCGTTGAATTAGGAGCTTGGTGGATCTGCATTAGAAATCTGTGTATTTTTTCATCGATGGTCCCAGGTTCATTTTCCATACATTTAAGTGATTTCTTTACAGTTTGAAAAACGTTCAGCCTGCCCATTAGATGAAGGGTGATATGGTGCAGTTGTTTTATGTGTAATGCCACACTGTTCAAGGAAGCTCGTAAACTCTAAGGAAGTAAACTGTATCGTCCATTGTCTAACACAAGAAGATCTGGTAATCCAAAAGTAGAAAACATTTTTCGCAACTCCTTTACTGTCCAAGTAGCTGTAGTACATTTCGTAGGCAATACTTCTAACCATTTGGTAAATGTGTCAATGACTAACAGGAATTAAAGTCCATTTGTAGGGCCAGCAAAATCAATGTGAATCCTTTCCCAAGGTCTAGTAGCTGGTATCCAAGGATGGTTCACTTCTTTTTGTGGTGCATTTTGTTTTTCTCGACACGCTCTGCATGATGCAATCATCTCCTCGATATCTTTGTCTTGTCCTTTCCAATAACAAAAACTTCTGGCTAATGCTTTCGTTTCAATACACCCATGTGTCCAAAGTGTAATTCATTCAAAACGATTTTAGTAAGAGACTTCGGAATCATAACCCTCCATCCCTTGAGGATACAACCTTCATGAAGACTCAGTTCACCATCGTGAAATCCAAGTTTTTCAACAGACTGGCCATTTTGTAAAGCGTGTAGGCCTACTATCTTATTCATTTCCGTGTCATGGGAAGTTTCTTTTGCTACCAACTTATGATCCAAACTCATTTGATTGATCTGACTTGTTAGGAAAACATCAATTTGGTCAATGCAGGTACTATTTTGTGTCTCAGTAGGAAATCTAGAGAGAAAATCAGCATTTCCATGTTCATTTGATCTTCTGAACTCAATGCTGTAGGCCTAATCAAAGCCTGATAAATAATGAGAATAATTGAACAAGCGAGTTGCAGACATGGATGGAAGATTTTTTTCTGGGTTGAAGATTGTGACTAGTGGTTTGTGGTCGGTTACGAGGTGAATTTGCGACCGTAACAATAAGTAAAGAACTTTTTAAGGCCCCAAATAATGCCAGTTGCTTCCTTGTCTATCTGACTATATTTTTCTTCAAGAACTGTATACAACTCAATTTAATCATTTCGTAATGTTATCATTGAACTAAACAAAAACATTGAATTAAACAAACATAATAATAATAATAATTAATTCTGAACATCTGTGAATCTTAATAACATATGTAACACATCTGATTACTACAGATAATACGATTTTGGTTATGTATTAACAGGCAATATAAAATAGATTTAACAAATTTACATATTAAAGACTGAAAAGTAGAAAATAATTAGAAATAAAAATACATTTTTTTAAATGACACATTTTTAAACGCACTAAAAAGTAGAAATTAATTTATAAATATGTAGAGAGAATATGAATACTTGTAAGATTTAAAACGAAAAACTTAATATATGATAATGCCTGCAATCTATATAAATAAAATTACAGTTTTGTCTGTACACTGCTTAGAATCATGCAGTTTTTGGTTATTTTTACGTTTGATAGCCTAAGAAAGCCGAAACGAGTCTTATCTCAATTTCTGTCTGTTGGTCTGTCCATTCTGTGATTCCGTCTGTGACGCCAAAATGTCATTTTACGCGGCCTACCCCTAGAAAACTAGAGTACCGATCAAGGTTCTAATCATTTTTCTGTATTTACTAGATTGGTGAGAGTGTCTTTGGCTATAAAAAACCTGGTCTCACTTCTTTGAAAACAAAATAACGAACCATTAAAAACCCTATTTTGTTGGATTTTTGTAAAATTTTCTCCCAATGTTTACTATTACATTACATTTTATAAAATAACGATCAGCTGTTTGGATTAGTTCTCACTTCTAGCTGTCACTGATATGTTTACATTAAAAGTTGTTTACAAATACCGCAACCATTTCCGATCAAGTTTTGTTAGCACATCCAAACCAAGTAAGATTAAAAACGTTGTGCCTTACTTAACCGGTTTAATTAATCGCAAGTGCAACGATTGTTCTTGAGTTTTGATAACCGGGAAAAATACCGAGAAACAGTGTTGTTTTAGTGCTGGGAAACTTACATTTTTTATCTTCGTCACCAATAGCTTAGGCTACAAAACAGGTTTCCGCTCATTAACGGCGCTTCAAGGACAGTTGTGTAAAGTGCAAAGTAAATAATCCCAACTGCAGTGGGTGATCGTGGATGTTGCTGCGATCTTGGAAGATCTTTCTGATTTCGCTGTGATCGTAACAGAGGTTTAACTTAGGCCTACAGATGTAGCTAAACTCGCTTTTCCAATGTGTTACTTACATTTCAACAACGGTATCGGTACTTTTCCTACTTAGGAAGTAAAACTATGTTCCCCTCAGATTTGTGCGTTTTTTTATCACAATTCCTCCGAATATATGTACCGATTATCGTTTAGAGATAACGTAATCTTTTAAATAAGAAACCTTTGTTTGGATAAAGGTGGTTTCTTCAAACTGTCATTAATATGATAACATAAAAAGTTGATAACAAATAATACTATTAATTAATTGAAAATATCTTTGATTTTTGAAAACTTAAAAACAATTTAAAACCAAGAGAGATTGATAACTTCGGAACTGCACCACACCAAGTGAAAGTTTTTGTGAACAAACCATAGTGAGTTTTTAAAGCTTTAAACGTTGTTAACGTTACATGTTACATGTTTTGTGGCCTGTGTATTTATTTATTTATTTTTATATTTGCCAACGGATTAACACCTATAATACAGTTTGATTAGAAGGACAGTTTGAATTGGTCGTAAGTAGGCTACTATAGTTTTTGTTTTAAATGTAAATGTTGGTTTTTGGTACTGCTACTTTTCCTTAGAACCGGTGGTAGCAGTTAAGAACCATTTTTATGTACAAACACATGACTATTTACAAGTATAGTTATCATTTGTGCTGCACCTTATTTCTTATTAAATTTAATTGATGTCTTACTGTATAATTTTTTTGCGTTTTCTGTCTGGACTCCAAAACGTTAGTTTATGCTATGAAAATGATAAAACATTAGTGAAAGATTTTTTTAGCAAACCTTCATGAATTTTTAAAGCTTGGCGTTGTTAACGTATTGATTTACTTATTTTTATATTTGCTAACGGATTTACACCAATTTTACAGTTTTATTAGGCCTAAAAACGATTATGATAAAATTTGATGACACTATCAAGACTTGTAAATAATTATTTTGTTTGTAATTTGCTTTGGTTAAAGCGTAGCAAATCCCCTAATTCAATTCTGTATTTGTAAGTGTATGTCTGTTGGTAACGCATTAATGTCCTTATTCCTCAGTGTTTCGTGGAAAAGACAAGAGCAAATTTGTTAATGAAAATTTCAACACAAATAAAGTGTGCAGTAATGAGGTTGAGGTAGTATTTTAACTTTTTTTAACCCGTGTGAAAAGTAACTTTCAATTACAGGCCTTTCTTAGGGCTATGCCTCATAGATCTATAAAGCTATTATCATTAGATATAAAATATGGACTAACACGATCCACACAACACACACATTAAACACACACACAACACTTTGCGAAGCATTCGTTTTGGCTTTGAAACTGTCAGACATTGTATTTGCGAAGGTTTATATTTATTCCTATATACAGTAATAGTTTTGCCAGCATATCTGGAAAAATGCACACTAAATATGCAAACCAACTCCTGTTCTGAATATAAGGTTTCATCTTACTACAAGATTCCCGTACGTAGAACGGGCTAACAGCTAGTAGATAATAATAGTTCAATGTGTGAAGATATACTCTTTAGTGCGTTTAAAAACGTGGCATTAAAAAAAAACTATTATTTATAATTATTAATTTTTAAAGAGATTTTGCTTATCTACAGGAAAATATCTTTTAAACAGTATGCGTAAATTTTCCCTGCGATGCACACGAGCTGAGAAAAAAGGTTTTAAAGAAACATACTTGCCTAATAATATATAGATTGGTAGATTGCAAAAAAATTATCAGAGAATGAAAGTGCATGTAGGGCCTACTTTAAAAAATTTAAACATTCTCACAAATCATTATTAAAATTGATATAAAGTGTTGAGGGAAAATTGTTTCTAACTCTCCAGACCATTGTAAGCTTAACCTGCGGGAGGGTTGGCTTATGTTGTGAGGAGCCTGACTAATCCTCTGGAAGGCTTAGCCTATACTATAGGCTATAAGTTTAAATCTATGGAAATCTGACTCATTCTTTAAGGGAAGCTTGACCTGCGGGAGGTTTGGCTTATGTTGTGAGGAGCCTGACTAATCCTCTGGAAGGCTTAGCCTATACTATAGGCTATAAGTTTAAATCTGTGGAAATCTGACTCATTCTTTAAGGGAAGCTTGACCCGTTTTTGTGAGAGCTTTAAAATACAGAAATAAAGTAGTTGATACATTTTATGTGCTGCACACAAGAAAGGACGAATAAGTGAGACAATACCAACTTAATTATAAAACAAAAAAGCCAAGTCAACTTGGTCGCAACTTGCTATTCAAATTTCAAATTGCTGAAATTTACAATTTTAAACACTTCTTTGTTAGGGATAATAAATGCTTAGCTACAAAACCAGATTTTAGAGTAACTGGTTGAAAATTATAAGATTTTTTTTATTGATTCTTCTCAACTTACTAGTAAGTTTTACCTAGTTTGTTTGAAATGTATTATATTGCCATGTTTTTGTCAAATTTATAATCTAGTCCATTGTAATAATTACAGATAAGGATGGAAAACCTTTGTGGAACAAAGTGAAATCTGAAAAGAAAAAACTTAAAGAAACAAGAAAGGCTCATCGTACTGGTGAGGAGCAATACCAGATTTCTGTAAAAGCGAAAGCAATTTGGGAAAAACTGAGAGGAAAGAATCATACAGATGAGAAAAAAGAAGCATTAGTTAATGAGCTTTTTATGTTGCTTAAGGGACAAACACCCAATGTAAGTAATTAATTTGAGTATGCTTTTTATTTGCAGTAGCCCTAAGTTAATTGTGTTTTAGAGTTGAGAGGGTAATTGAGGGTACATTGAGGTTATTATTGATTTGATTGAAAATTAAAAAGAAAAAGTCTTAGGTCTATTAGTTAAATTGTAAAATTGTAGAAAAAGATCAAAGTTTTTGGATTTCACCCTCAGTTAAGTGACGGTCGGACAGAGATTCATAGCTGCCGGCCCTTGGGGTCACTTTAACATGAGTGCATATCATAATTCCTTGTTTTTAGGTCTACAGTAGACTCCCTCTTATCCAGACACCTTTTAACCGGACATCGGTTTAACCGGACTACACTCGCCGGAAATGACATCTATTTAACCGGACAATTTTTATCAGCACATCGGTTTAACCGAAAACATCGACAGGAAGTGGGTGGTACTGAAACGACTGTTCTCGTGGGAAAGATTTGAGACTAGTGATCATGTGTCTAAATACAATGCTCTCCTAAATTTAAAATAAATACTGTATACAGTATGCTTTTAAATGGTCCGTTTTAACGAGTTTTTGGGGACGTCGGTTTTTCGGGTTAAACCGACGTCCCCAAAAACTTGTTAAAACAGACCATTTAAAAGCACTGTATTTGTATTCCAAAAAATATTTTACGCTCTCATAACGTTGTAAATGTATCTAGGATTAAGACTATACAATATAAAAATAACACTTAAAAAATAAGCCAAATATAAAATAATTGATTTTTTATATTTCCTATAAGGAATTGCAATATTTTCTTCCAGAATATAAAATGTCTGGCGCTACAAAAAATTATTGTTTGAACGCAATATTAAAAAAAGCTTATATTCATTAGTGTATTGAATGTCAAAAATAATTATTTTTCGATAGTAAACATTTAGTTTTGTATTTTTTTGTAAAAGCTTGCCAAAAAGCCATGCTTGCCGACTTTGTACTAGTTTGATGATGTCCCGGCCAATGGCAGCACAGTCCGACCCGTGCTAAATACGACTCATTTAAACTGGCCACAGATCCACTGAAATAAATAACGTTACGTCGTTATATCCAATGCCAAGCAAGTGACGATATTTAATTTACAGGGATCTAAGACTAAAATATTTTTGGACTGTTTATTTATTTTATTAAAATATAGGCTAACTATTTAATAATATTATTATTTAGTATTATTTAATAGTACTGTATTATAGTATTATTTAATAATAATAGACAGAGACTTTTGCTTAAACATTTCAGATGTTTAGATGCTTAAAAATATGTTTAAAGGACTGTAATAAAACATTTTGTCATGTGTTAACTACTAAAACCAATTCAGGATAGTGGTTATGTCATTGAGTTTATTATCGTGTGTTTTATTTATAAAGTTGTGTAGCTTAAAATGTTTTGCTGAAATATTGATTCACATTATTACATACCATATTTTATGGTGTGTATAAAATATGCAAATTGTGAATGCGAGGCTGACGAACTGAGACCGGCTGAGACGCAGAGGGTGGGTAGGCAAAGGTAGCAAGCAGTGAAAGTGAAACATGTGGTGGGACAATAGACAAAGGGGTAGGACACTGGCTGAGGGTAGCTAAGTTGGTGCTTTTTAGTTTCTAGGCCAAACAGGGTTGTAAAAAATAGCAGCTACCGCCATTTGACACCCACAAAACTGGTGGCAAGGGTGGTACTATTACAAAAGTCTGTCTTAGGAGAACAGTATTGTTGCTCTTGACACCTGCAGAATATGGAATACAGACTGACTCCGGCCGCCTCTTAACTTTAATCTACACAAATTCACTACACTTTATTTAAGTCACTACACCTCTGATAAGTATGCTCTGTGTTAGTGTGCTTATTTGTGTTAATGTGACAGATTGTCTTCAGCCACGACATGGCCAGGGTGGTCCAGTGAATGCTGAAGCTTGGATCTCCTGCTTTAAGGTCCTCCCTATGTGAAGACCTCAGCTCCAGCACTGTTTCCTTTTTGTGTTAGTTTGCTTATTTGTGTTAATGTGACAGATTGTCTTCAGTCATGACATGGCCAGGGTGGTCCAGTGGATGCTGAAGCTAGGATCTCCTGCTTTAAGGTCCTCCCTATGTGAAGACCTCAGCTCCAGCACTGTTGCTTTTTTGTGTTAGTTTGCTTATTTGTGTTAATGTGACAGATTGTCTTCAGTCATGACATGGCCAGGGTGATCCAGTGGATGCTGAAGCTAGGATCTCCTGCTATAAGGTCCTCCCTATGTGAAGACCTCAGCTCCAACACTGTTGCCTATCTTCAGTCTCGGTACTCTAGCTTCTGCGTTAAGCGAGCACTCAAGTATGCAAGTAAGGCAGATCGCAGCTTGCTCATCCAATCTTGCAATGGGCACTTCTTAAAACTCTTTAGTCATTTGGTAAGTACCATTACAGGAACATTTTGATTGTCATTATTTTAATCAGGACACACCATTGTTTGGTAAAACTAAAATATCTTTTCTAACTAGAGGTGTGCGGATATCCGATATTTCAGGTTGGTTTTGGTTCGGTTCAAATATCCGGGTATATTCAGGTAACTGAACCGTGCCCAAATTTGATATCCGACAATATCCGTTAAATATCCGACATTTCCGGAGAGACTGTACCTACTGTAAATGACGTTTGAGACTGAGGTCAAAATGAGGATGAAATAAAATTATTTCCGCTAAATCAACCCCAAGGAATAACGTAAAAATGTTTTTAACTTTTTACCGATACAGAGTGTGCAAAAAACTGAGGGTCACTAATCCGAATCTCGGAATTTTTAAATGTAAACATACATAATTTTAAAATAGGGATGGATGGAATTGAATTTTTACTTCGGGAAGGGACAGGACGGGATTTTTATTTCCTTCCCGATTTTTAGGACGGGATGGGACGGGATTTTTTCCTGTGCATAAAAAAAAAGTCTTGAGTATTGCAGTTACAAAAAAAAAAACTAAATCAATTTTTACCGTTTGTGGCACTATCTAGAAAAACCAAAAAATGGTTTGGTTACAACAATTTACAGGTACCTATAGAAACATGTGACTCGCGGTCAAAATGACTCGCGGTCACGGGGTTATCGTCGGTACGACTCACAGTAACGGCGTGGTTGTCGGTATGAATCCGCGATCAAGGGGTGTCCGTTGGTATGACTCCGCGGTCACGACGTGATCGTCGGCATGACTCCGCGGTTACGACGCGATCATTGTTATGACTCTGCGGTCACGGGGAGATCGTCGGTATGACTCACAATCACGGCATGCTCTTCGGCATGACTCCGCGGTCACGGGACGATCGTCATTATGACTCCGTGGTCACGGGGTGATCATCGGTATGACTCGCGGTCACGGCATAATCGTTGGTATGACTCCGCGGTCACGGGGTGATCGTCGGAATGACTTCGTGGTCACGGCGTCATCGTCGGTATGACTCGCGGTCACGGCGCGATCTTAGAAATGACTTCACCCCCTGCGTTTGCGAAACATCTCTCGCGATAGCGGCGTTATTGTCACTTGCGAAGCGGCAAAATCATAGACGATCGGACCAAATCCCGTCCTGAAAAATTCCCTAATCAAATGTAATCCCATCCCAAAAATCGGGAATATTTTTTTTCCGAAAATTCCCCAAAATTTCGGGACCCGTCCACCCCTATTTTAAAAGTATTTAATAGACAAACATTTTGGCAAAAACAGAAATCAATGATCTTTTTCTGTTGCAAAATGGCAGCGGTTTTTTTTTTTTTATTAATATGTTTTTAATACACTGTGTTTCCTACCAATGCACTTAGCCCTTCTACGGTTGAATTTTCTTACTAGTTATGAAATTAGCTTTACTGTGATATGCCACAAGTAACGGTTTTTTGAAATAATAAAAATTCAAAAAAAATAATTTTTTTAAATGTGTAATTGCCCATTGTTAAAATTTTCAAATAGCAACATATGTAAAGTGGCACATCATTTTATAGGTTTTTAATTTCTTTTCAGCTTTGTAATTTACACTTACTTCGTATCTCTTTTTAGTTTTTGTGTAAATAACTAAAAACCTAATTTTCCTATATCAAATGCATGATATTTGAGTTTAACCAGGTTTAACGCTAAAGGACCCATTTAATTTAGGGTTAAACCCAAATAACATGCATTTGATATAGGAAAATTAGGTCTTTTGTTATTTACACAAAAACTAAAAGAGATACAAAGTAAGTATAAATTACAAAGTTGTTAAGAATTAAATACCTAATTAATAGCTGCTGCTTCGTAGTGCTGCTGCCAGCTGCTGATCACCAGCCGCTAGTAAGTAGCCTAGTGTGACCCGTACTTTAGTAGTTATGATGAGCCTTTGTCCGTCATCTTGTATTTTCGTTACTTTTCCTAGAATGGAAGTTTTTTTTTTCAACCACTACCAAAATCTGAACAAAATTTAAAACCCTCTTGATTTGAATTTTAGGAGTATTTCCGCCACTCTTAAAATAGCAATTATTTTTAGAGGACACTGAATAATCTGGTATTGCCAAAGCCAGCTGTGAACCAACTAAATTATCAAGCAAGTGCCAACTTTATACTCTCTATAGTATACATTTGTGTGTATTTGAGTAAATATTTTCTAAGGTGAACACAAAAATCTAAAATCTAGTACCATAAAGACGGAAAAACCTTTCTTCTATCTTTGGAATGGTATTGGCCACCACTTGCTTTTAGTGTTAAGGCCTTAGGATCCTTTATATTTTTATATGTATTTTATTAATATTAATATTGAATTAGCTGCATAAGTGTTCAGTTCTGACAATAGCAATAAGTCCAATATTGATAGAAATAACTTATAACATTATATGGCTGTGTCTAAAAGGTATAGAAGAGTAATGAAATACAAAATAATACTGCACCTTGGTTACAGTGTGCGAGTCCAGTGATAGAGTTGATGTATGCAGAGTATGCCTCGGCTGCACAACGTAGACAGATTCACAGAGAGATGTACGGAGAGATGCATGCTCTTGTTGCTCCGGAGATTACCTCAATACAAAACATTCCTAAAAACATGAGACCTTCAATATTGACTGCCACAAAAAGTAATCTGACTAAACTGTTGTTAAAGTAAGTATCAGCCATACTTTGTACATTTTAGTCTTCTCACGCATTATGTAGTGGTTGACGCCACATACAGTACAATGTGAAATTTTGTATATCTTAGTACTCAATGTTTTAATTTGAATGAATACAATTAGCTGTACAAAACACTTGTCTGCTTACAATATTTAGCGGAGCAAGCATATTATTCCAATTACAATTTTGGGAAACGAATTGATTGTTTCAAATGGGCTCGGGCTAACATATATGGGATGTCTAATTCAGCCGACCCGGAAACCGGGAAAACTAGGAATTGTACGTAAAATTTGATGACCGGGGAAAAATCTATAAATCGTTAAATTATTGCTGATTTTGTGGCGATCATAAGTAATGATCACGGAATCACTGTGATCGGGGAAAATCATTGCAGATTTGCGGCGATTTCAGTATGTGATCACCGTTATCCAAAATCACGAGAAATGATCTTGGATGTTGTTTGTGATGTGATTGCAGGAAACCATCACAGATGTTGCCACGATTGTGAGAAATGATCTCAGATGTTACTGTGATTGTAAGTAATGATCACGGAAATTACTACGAATGCGGGAAGTCATCACAGATTTTGCGGCGATTTTGAATATATGATCACGGACATCTGACATTTCGAGAAATCATCACGGATCTTGTTGCCATTGAAGGGAATCATCACGGATGTTGCCGTGATCCCGGGTATTCATCATAGATGATGACGTGATTGTGAGAAATCATCAATAATTTTCCTGCAATCGAATGATATGATCACCGATGTGGCTGGGATTGCAAGAAATAATCACAGAATTCACCGAAGGTTATTTAATGTACTAGTAGGTGAAAACAAGAAAGTTCCTGAAATTGTGCTTATATTTGATTTTGATGGGACACTGGATACCCTGTACTTGCACTCGATGCAACCATAGACAAAAAGAATTAAATATAGACTGTCAGCTGTGCTGCGGTTACCATAGCTTCTGGCGCACACCGCTTGGAGCGCCATGTAGTTACGGCGTACACGCTACGTAAACTACAGCGGTGTGCGCCGGAACCTATGGTAACCATGGTAACCGCAGCATGGCTGACAGTCTATAATTCTTTTTGTCTATGATGCAACTCAATTCGAAGCAATACGGCATTTTTCTATTCATACTTGTCATTTGTCAATGTAGTGGATTGACAATAATTTAAATATAGGTACCACATTTGTGTAATGCAAATTTTTGTTGATGTGGTATTAGGCCTATTCATACATAAAATATGAATTTTATGTGAAAAAATATATAATCATATGTTAGAAAAGCTGTATTGCTGGAAATGTCAGTGAGCTGTTTTACTTGCCTATTTCATAATTTTTACTTGCAGAATCATATTGTTAAGCATATGTTACCTATTTTATAATATTGATTTTACAAATAAAGATATGTTTTGGTGTAAACAAATAATACCCCCGCTGCAGCAAACCTGCCGACTAAGCGAATTTCCATTTGCCTGGATTGATTTTCAATTAATCTGTTAAATTAACATTTATGTAACGAGTACCTAAGTTAGCTGCTACAGGGAAACTAATAAAGTGTGTTTTTTTATTAAAATATCAATACAGTAGCTTAGTATGAAATAAATAAATCCGCCAAGTTTGATCAAAATATATCCATAAACAAGCCAACTACAACATATTATAATATTCTCCATAAGAATAACATGGGAATTTTAAATTTACAATTTTTTTGAATTTTCTCCGTAACCAATCACCGTACAAAAACACTTTCATATACTAAATTATTTGTTTTTTAAGCTCATCAAAAAGGTCTGGAGAAAAATTGAAAAATTTTGTGTTTTAAGGGTAAAAAAATGAGAAAAACCCATTTTTACCCCATAAAACCACCCCGTTAAACCCCGTTCCCATGGTCCGATCATGCTGGTTCGCGAACTCATTCAAGTTTATCCCGCCTTACACCTTCAAACCAAATTTTATCAAAATCGGACTAAAATTACTCAAGTTATCGTGCGGATGGACACATATCTCTATATATAGATATTTATATACATATATAAAAATTTGAACGAATGGTGTTTTTGGCCTCTGGGGACATCAAAATGAAAAAGTAAATCCCGGGCCTAGGTCTTACCATGAGACATACGGTAATAGCTACTTCCCTATAGGGAAATTCGCTAAAAACATTTGTAATATTTATACTGAAACTTTCAATTGGTTTGGATTGATAAAATGAGAGGATAGAATCAGATCAGACCTACAAAAATACCAAATTAAAAATACCTACCAAAATACCAGTCTTAGGCCCGATTTCACCAAACATTTAAACCACCGTTAAGCCTTGCTCTAACTGCAATTAGCTCTTAACTGACGAAATCGGATTTCACCACTCGCCGTTAGCGCTAGTTTAGACTAAACCGTCGTTAGATAATTAACTGCCCAATTTTGACCGGTTAACTTCTTTAATCTTTCGTTAAGTAAATATCAACTGGCTTTACGTTTATATGGAAAGGCCAAAAACTAGAAGAGCATACGATACGAGTTACCTTTTGAAAGTGATAGTGATGAAGAGTAGCCTATGTTGTTCGCCGAACTAGGTGGATAAGAGAAAAGTTAATGATTTAACTAAGACAAAATTAATTTTATTACTAGAAATGAATTATTAAAATGTTTTGCCTTTTTCTTTAGGTTATCCCTAGAGGTTTTTGGTAAAGGCGTATCTCTAGGTATGTGATCAGCCACTCTTTTCCACACCGATTCTTTTATCCCGGTTGAAAAAGTGTTTTTCTACCTACATTATCAAATTCCTTTTTTCTTTGTTCGAAAAAATAGGCTCCCTTTTCCTTTTGAGTAACCCAAACCCTACGGTCAAAGAATTAATTTAGTTCGGTCAGACGTAATTAATGACAATAACTAAACCTAAATTGTCATTATTCTGCTAGTATTTATAGAAAATCATTATTTTATGGTATCTTTATTATGTCTTGTTCGTAACTCTTTTTGCCTCAAGTTTTCACTATTTCAAATGTACCGTACTGTAAAGGTTAGATTGAGTCTTGACTCAACACTCAAAAGCAAAACTCAATCCTCTGTTCCTCAATCGAATTTGTTTTATCAACATTTCTTTGCCTTTATTTACTCATGTTAATTGTATAGCTGTTTATTCTTGTTTTCTGTTGTTATTTTGTCCTTGTTGCTCAGAATCCATTTATAGGCCTACTTGTAATCTTGCTGTCTCCAGTTTTGTTTTCACTACCTCATATAAACACCGAATTATTTTCTAGGTTATGTTTACTTATTGCTCCCCAGCCCAGTATTATGACAGTTTTTACTGCCACCGCCACCTGGATTTTACTCTAAACTCTCGTTTATAAAACCAGCGTTAGTTTTGACGCGTTTTTGCTGGTGAAACCAGATTTCCTTAACTGTGGTTTAAATCATCAGTTAGTTTTAACTGAAGTTTAACTAAACCATCGTTAGCGCGAATTTGGTGAAATCGGGCCTTAAACATCAATCTTACTTGTTAAGTATCAAGTAACAATTTTTCAGACTTGTGTTATTTTTAGAATGATTTTGGAGTAGCCTATCTTGTTTTGGCTATGTTTACAGTAGTAAAACATATCTCACACTGCTTACATCAAGACGAAAAACAAAACCTCTCATCATTTGCAATGTCAAAACAAAAAATTATAAACCAATTAGGATAAAGCAATATTTACGTGCAAAGAATTAATTGAATAAGAACACCTACGTAAATGAAATATGCAACATCAAGGCGCTCCTGTATTGCGGGTATTGCATTGACTTCTGCAGGCGTTTTTCGTACATGGATACTGACTCCCTCATGAATCGAATAATATTTTGACCACCACTGAATCGATTCGCGATTCGATGCATTGAATCGAATTCGCACACCCAGACCTTCCTATGGTTGGTTACTATAACTATGCTAAATTACTTGTGGATCGCTTCAGCTGTTCAGGAGGAGTATGTGGAAAACATAAGCAGGAGTGTAGTATAAGAGCTTCGTTTGCTTAGCTTTCTCTACTCAGTTAAGCATTTGCAACGTTGTAAAGGACCTAACTGTTTTTTAATAATCCAAAATTTATATAAAAATTATAAATAAACCAAAGTAAAATGATGTCATTTTTAACTATTAGATATATTATATACTGCTAGAGAGATCTTAAAAAAATCGATCAGTTCTAATGCTAAATGGACTAGTTCATTCCTATTTCTACAATCTCAATATGACATAAACCTATGTATGGATAGTTTCAGTAAACCTTTAGAACTACGGTACCCTTACCCTACTGCACTGTTAAAACTCATTTTAAAATTTATTTTAGAAAGCAGCTGTTCAAATATACTTTGCTACAAACGTTACTGCAAGACTTCCTAGCCAGCTGCTCAGAACAGGACCGCAATGAAATCTTGGAGCTTATACAAGGTGATGTGCTGGAGTTCCTCAACACCAAGGAAGGCTCCAGAGTGGCTCTACAAGTTGTCTGGCACGGCACGAATAAGGTTATACAACTTGCTCTGTAATGATCAAATAGACTAAGAAACTACAACTGAGTCCTGCTGATCCAAACTAATTGCGACCGGACCCTGTTTGGCTTATAAAATTATTAAGATTGTTCAGAAATTCATTATAATTACATCAAACAACTAAATATGTTGATGTATGACTGTCCAGGTCCCTGGTTTTCTTTAGTTTCCCAGATGGACACCCCAAGTTTATCTCAGAGGACATATCTTAGATTCTAATTTAAATACAGTGACCCTTTTCCCTCCTTCCCCAAAAGGTGATTTGGATTAGCCAGATGTTCAGATTAGCGGGACCTTAGTGTAAATAAGAAATCAAACTATTCTACTTAATAGTTTAGTACAGTAAGTTATACACCTTTTGCTATTTGTTTATGAGTATATTTTGTTTTTAAGTAGGCCTAATGATGCTAAAACATTAAAAGTTACCTACACTTTTTTCAGGTGAAAAAAGTGATCGTGAAGGCGTTAAAGGGAAAAGTCAAGGAGACTGCCTGCTCTGAAGTGGGCCACATTCTTCTGCTTGCTCTGTTTGACTGTGTGGACGACACAGTCCTCGTTAAGAAAGTAGGCATATCCTTGATAATGTAATAGGCCTAAAGAATTAATCTGTAGTGGAATTTATGAGTTAGCTATCATTGAGCGAAGCTCTTATACTACAAACCTGCTTTTGTTCTACAAATGAACGGCTGAAGCAATCTTTACAAAATTTAGCACAGTCATAGTAACCAACCATGGAAAGGTATAGATCTGAAATGGTACAAATCGGACCACAGGGCTTTTCTCTAGGCGAATTTAAACTTTTAGAAATTTAACAGGGGTCTTTTGGGTTAATTGGTCGCCATGACATTATTTGCAAGATAACAATAAAAAAAGGTAAACAAGAGTCGCAACATGTTAGTCAACGAATCATCTAAAATAGCACAGAGAAAATGGGGAAGAACAATCAGATTGATAGCATTAAGCATAATTTACTAAAAAATGAATAACCAATAATTAGGGTCACCGGAATTAGGCTGATGCGCCATTGACTTTAAATACTCAAAAAAGCGATTCCATTTATGTGAACTAAATATAGGCCAAGTGTTGAATTTGGATACTGCAAGTAAACAATTGATTGACATGAACCAGACATACCATTGACTTTGGATACTGCAAATAGGCACTCCATTTATGTGAATCAAATGAACCATTGACTTAGAATACTGCAAGTATACAATCAAGGTAACTTACGTGAACCAAATGTACCATCGAGTTTGGATACTGCAAGTAAACAATTTATTTACACTGACCAAATGTGCCATTGAGTTTGGATACTGCAAGTAAACAATTCAATCATGTGAACCTGATGTATCATTGACTTTGAATACTGCAAATAGGTAAACTTAATTATGTGAACCAAATGGGCCGTTGACTTTGGATACTGCAAGTAGATTTCTCATTTATGTGAAGCCGGTGTACCATTGAATTAGGATACTGCAAGTACACAATTCATTTACGTGAACCAAATGTACCATTAAGTTTGGATACTGCAAGTAAACAATTTGTTTATGTGAACAAGACGTACCTGGCTTTAGAACCTGTAAGTAGACATTCCATTTAAATGAGCCAGACACCCCATGGACATTAGATACAGCAAATAGACATTCCATTTATGTGAACCAAATATACCATTGACATTGGATACCGCAATATCTCATTTACAAGAAACAGATGTAGCATTGACTTTAAAAAAATATTGGATTAATATGCTAGCTCCGCTCAATATTGCAAGCAGACAACTGCATTGTACACCTAGTTAAGTTTTAGCTTGGAGTGATGTTATGCTACCAACATCCTTGGGAATACCCCACAAAGATGAATTTGTTTCTAAATTTGTTCTGAAATAATTTTCACGGCCCCAAGTAGGTATAAGATTGTTAAAACTAAAAAGCATTCATCATTACATTCTTTGTAAAAATGAAAACTTGCAATGGAGAACACTTTGTCCTTACATTATTAAAAGTCTTTATTTTAGTTTGTCACATTTTTTGCAGGCTTTGCTTCCTGAGGTGGTCAGTGAAGCAGTGGAATTGGCCAAGAATGAATGGGGAAGAAAGGTTATACTGTACCTTGTGGCACATAGGGACCCTGCTTACTTCCATCCCCAGCAGATAGAGGTTTTAGCCAAAGGGGATGCCATCGGCAAAGGGTAAGAGTTGTACGAAAACTTTTGTTGAACTTAAAATTGAATGTGTTTTAGCTAAAGGGTAAAAGTTAACCATTGACAAAGGGCAAAATGTACTATTTTTTGGTGGGATCATTTTGTAGGGTCCAATTTCAGTTGGCCCAAAAAATATTTATTTAAATTTAGCAGCTCCAAAAATTGTATTTCCACTTTTGGGATCAAGTGTTTCTTTTGCTTCAAATTCCCATGTTAACCATATAACCCAGTAACCTTGTTATGAAAACCCGGGTCTACCTTGCATGAAATGGGGTAGTAGGTTTCTTTTTTTTATGTTGTTTGTAATAGTACCGAGATGCTAAATCCAAATTTTCGACCTCGGCGACCTTCCCGATCACCTCCAAATAGCTTAAAAATCGGCGAAATTTCTCACTATTTTACGTTTGTCTGATTTTGACCCTGAAGCATCACTTTTATGTAAAGAACAACCATAATCATTTTTAAAGTACATTAAATTACCTATCATTAAGACAAAAATGGTTATTACAGGATTACAGGCCTAACAGTTTTCAAGATATAACTCAGCAAACAACAGCTAAAATTACCAAATTGTTAACTTTTTTAAAGTTGGGTAGGGGTGGGCGAGTAGTGATTTTTCAATCGAGTCGAGTCGAGTAGAGTATTTGAGTAAAAACTCGAGTATCGAGTCGAGTCGAGTCGAGTAGTTGCGCGTTAAGTAGGCCTAGGCCCAGGGTTTATGCTGCGGTAGTATTTTTAGCATCTTGCTATTCACAACTTAAAAATGCTAAGTTTACATTGTTTTGCAGGCTAGGCCTATGGCAAATTTTCTACAAATAAAATTGAAAGATGTAATGTTCAAACAAATGTAATAACTTATTATCCTACTGGAATTTTTTTGTTTTAAATGCTTAAGTTATTGAATAATATTTTTTCTACAGTTAGGCCTAACTTAGTTTTTGTCTTTGCAGAGAGTTTGCAGCATTTTGCTGAAAAAAATTTCATCCTAGCCTAAACCCTGCCTAGGCCTAAATAGGTAGTTTAAGTACTTATACCAAATTTTTTAAGTTATATGGTTACTAATTATTAGTACCTCCTACCTTAGGCCCAATAAAAAATTTGGCCTTGATTACTTTTTGGCTGCAGCATTAATTTATTTAGGCCTACACATCACTTGTTATTGTGTGTTTTATTTTTTCTTGCCTTTAATTCCTCCTCACTAACATGATAATCAACCTAACTAACTAACTTAATAAGGTACCTAACTTTTAGAATAATTTCAATTCAAATAAGAAACAGAATTTATAAAAATAAATTTATTTATTTAACAGAAAACTTATATAAAACTACATATTGTATCACAAGTTAAAAACATCAATGAGGTATTTTAAAATAGGTAATCACTTGGATAAGCACTTCATCAGGTCTGAAGTTTGAAGGTTATGGGTACTATCCTCTTCACTCAGTACATTTATAAAAATGATTAAGTCACTCGGCATTGACAGACTGAAAATATCAAATAAAACATAGTAGGCCTATTATATCGAAATAAAATCCCACGTTAAACACTTAATTTAAAATTAAAATACATTTCACTGTAGCCTGGTATAGCCTATTTGGCCTTTCAAACTCACATTTTCTAGGTTAAGTTACAATTCAAACTGTAGTTGTCATGTTTCTGCCACCAGATTGAAAATTGCACAATCAAAATCACAAACAGAATATGTTTATTTTACTTTCTACTTAACTTCCACTAACAAAATAAATTTTATTTTAAGTTACAAATTCACTTCAAAGTAAAAACATTCAAAACTGACGTTGACATAACTTCACTCCAATCTATTGTTTTGTTTTGTTCTTAACCCTTAGAGTGCCAGGCGAGAAATAAAAGTAACGCTCAAAAAATGCCGATGATTATTCCCGAAGGTCGCGCTTAAAATGCCGAGCGCGATCTGGCGATTTTTAGGTTAAAATTTTGTAAAAATCGAATTTTCGATATTTCGACCAACGAAAATCGATGTATCGCATCTAGTAACTTTCGACTCAATGTTAATATATGGGTTAAAAGAATCCGAGTATCCATTCGGTTGTTATGACAACTGTTCGATCATTACGAAACGTCCGGTCAGCCGGACGTTGGCACTTTTGGCTCGTTCTAAAAACGTCCGGTCGGCCGGACGTCGGCACTTTTGGCTCGTTTTAAAAACGTCCGGTTCCCTGGACGTTGGCACTCAAAGGGTTAATCTTGTTGTTGCTATACGTCACCGGTCACCATCTTTATCTCTCTCTCTCTCTCTCTCTAGTCGGTCTGCTCCTGCTGTCTGCTTCTGCTTTGTTTTCCCATCAAACAGCTGTTTTGCAGGGCTGACGTTGCCATATTTATCATTACACCATTATGGTGAATGTCGGCAAAATTATCATAAAATTGTTATAGCTTTTATTTCGTAAAAAAAAGTTAATAGTTTGACTAATTTAAATCATATTTATGTTTAAACTCATTAGAAAATTATACTTATAGTTTGTTTATGCCAATACCACACAGTTGTAAAAGTACAAAAATTATCGTCCATCTGGCAACATTAAGTTTAAAGTGGAACTGATCTTTTCTGTCTGCCATTTGCCTAGACCCAATGAGATTGCGTCATTCAGATGCATCGATGTTCCTTGTAGTAACTTATCGGTTTGTAAAACTAAACACCAATACCGATTAATTTGAAAAAATATTATGCTACAATAGGTTATTTTTATTTGTTGTATTTCTATATTTTGGTATAAAATATTGTGTTATTTCTATATTTTGGTATACAATATTTTTATGGCAGTTCAAACTAAATCTGATACTGTACTTTATAATATCTTCAAGAATCGTCTGCCGTCTGCCATTGTTAGGCCTACTAGTCACGAGACTCCCTTGTTGACTATCGACTACTATTGCAGTTCCATAGATTCATTCAATGCTTTATTTCAACTTACTGTATCGTTATCGAGACTGTTGACTGTTGTAGGAAAGTGAAAGTCTGTTGTTAGTAGTAGTAGTCCTCTTGCTAGTTTTGCCGAATGACGATGGGGGTTTGTTGAACATTTGGTTTACGCTGGTCTAACCTATATGAGGTTAGATAGTTGTTTTTTGTAGGAATGGGGATTAAATAAGGCATCAACACAAAACAAAATATAATTTATTAAATATGGATGTAGAAAATCGTGAATTTGCACTATTTATAACTACTCGACTTGAAATTTTCGAGTAGTAATTACTACTCGACTCGAGGTTGAGTATTTGAAAAAACTCGAGTAATTACTCGAAGGTCGAGTACTCGCCCACCCCTAAAGTTGGGTAATCAGCTTGTAAGTTATACACAATGAGCACTGTCTTATTAGGATTGTTTATAGTTATTTTTTGTTTTTAGTTTCATAATTATTTTTTGATAGTTTGTGAATGTGGTGTTTTTTTTTCAAGTGCATAATTCATCAACTTATTGACTGTCTTTTTTTCAAAATATTTATGGTAATTTATTGTGTTTGAATGTTTGTTTTCCCCAAAAATATTGTTTGGGAATCGGAGTAGCGTGATAATACTTTTAGTGAATTACATTAATTCAATGACTTGGGTGGAAGGAACTAGGCTGTATTATAGATGTGAAAGTTTGGAGAATGTCAATAATGTGAAAACTACCTACTTGACCAATTGATCTGATTTATCTATGAATGGAGCCATAGCTTCCTCTAACACAAGGCCGCGGCATTAGTGTGTGGCATTGTCGCAACGTCATGCATATTGCTATGGTATCAACAGAAACAACAAAAGTGTAAAAATAAACATTTTCTATACCGTCGATTATAAATTAGTGCAACAGCTGTTTCGGTTTGACAGACAGCTGTGTTGCCACTTTTGTCTCGCCGCTGCCTTGTATTAAAGAAGGCTATGATAACCAATGTACCACAGGTTTAATGGAGATAGGTAGTCATTTTTTATTTTAATAAACTCCTAGGGCTCTGCCTTGACAGCTTGTAAAGTTTCTATTTTATTCTTATGAATACACTTAATATTAACAATTCAAAATTGATGTAAACCACATGTTTGAAAAGGATTTGATCAAAATAGCGTTCTCTTGTTGCAAAGCTTGGGCAGGGCAGCTGGTGTATATAGCCTATACAGGGTGTTTCAGTAAAGCGTAGCGGGCTATGCAGATTCAGAATCTACATGCAAAAATAAGTCGAAAATGTAGAATAACTTTTTTTCGATTTCGGCTTAGTTTGGCCGTAATCCGCCATTTTGTATTTTTTTGAAAATAATTAATAACTCAAAAACCCTTGGAGATACTTTTATGAAACTTGGTACAAACTTTAATTCTACAGGTATAAACATTCTCCGAAAATATCTTTGATCAGGCTCATCAAATTTCAAAATGGCGACCATTTAAAATTTTTGTTTTAATGGCCAGTTTTCATTGTATTTACTTAAAAAATTTTAAATGGCCGCCATTTTGAAATTTGTTGAGTCTGATCAAAGATATTTTCGGAGAATCTTTATACCTGTAGAAATAAAGTTTGTACCAAGTTTCATAAAAATATCTCCAAGGGTTTTTGAGTTATTAATTTATTTTCCAAAAAATACAAAATGGCGGATTATGGCCAAACTAAGCCGAAATAAAAAAAAAGTTATTCTACATTTTCGACTTATTTTTGCATGAGGAATCTGAATCTGCATAGCCCGCTACGCTTTACTGAAACACCCTGTATATATATACAGGGTGATTGATATAAGTGTGCCAGCCGTTTTATTCGAAAACTATAAGAGATATAAAAAAAAGTTAAATGGTAAGTGCCTTGGATTTTTTATTAAAAAAATTATAGTCGAGTCAAAAAAATTATTTTAGCCACCATTTTTCCAATATGGCCGCCAACTTTGATTTTTCTTATGGAACACCCTGTATTTTATGATGTATTCTGGTAGATAAAGTAATTTTAAGACGATTTTATCCTTGTGATTTTTTTCATAAACATAACCGTTTCAAAGATAATAATGGTTTAAGTTGTGAAATTTTGAATGGTTTTCGAGCAAAACAGCTGGCATGCTTGCTTCGGCCTTTATCGAAACTCTTTCTCATGCAGAAATTTCAAAACTTTAACCATTATTATCTTTAAAACGGTAAGGTTTATGAAAAAAATCACATGAATAAAATCGTCTTAAAATTACTTTTTCTACCAGAATACATCATAAAATGCAGGGTGTTTCGTAAGAAAAACCAAAGTTGGCGGCCATATTGGAAAAATGGCGGCTAAAATATTTTTTTTTGTTTTTAAAATAAAAAATCCAAGGTACTTACCATTTAACTTTTTTTGATATCTCTTATAGTTTTCGAATAAAACGGCTGGCACACTTATATCAATCACCCTGTATACGAGTATATATATATATACAGGGTGAATTTTAAATGAGTTCCCCCCCTACTTTTTTCTGCATTTCTTAAGATATCATCTCCGGACCACGTTAGATCATTGTTGAGTAGTAAGTACTTCATTTTGGTTGGGTATACAATTTTGGCCGCCATCTTGGATCCGCTATATTGGATACAAAGTTTTTTTTTTCAAATGTAAAGGTAGGGTTGTGACCCATTATTTCAAACCAGAATTTTACGCTGATTACAATGCCGCAATTATTTTTTTAAAATATTGATCCGTTCTAAAGTTATGAGGACTTTTTATAACTTTATTTTTAGCGCATTTTAACATTGTGCATTTACAAACTAAGACCATAATCTCAAAATAGTGCTAGATAAAGATAAGTATACACCACCATTCATTGCCGACATATTTTCACTTGGTTATGACGGATGTAGTTTTTTCAGCCGCCATCTTGGATCCGCCATTTTGAAATGTGATCAATTAATTTAAATATGAAGGTGGTGTTGTGACCCATCATTTTGAACTACTTTTTTATACTGGACTCAATGCTGCAATCCGTTTTTGGTTATCAAGCTATCTTGATGAAATATTAAAATAGTCTTATTTAAAATTTCAATATTTCAAAAACCAAAGATGCAAATGAAAAACGGATTGCGGCATTGAGTTCAGCATAAAAAGGTAGCTCAAAATGATGGGTCACAACACCACCTTCATATTTAAATTAATTGATCACATTTCAAAATTGCGGATCCAAGATGGCGGCTGAAAAAACTACATCCGTCATAACCAAGTGAAAATATGTCGGCAATGGATGGTGGTGTATACTTATCTTTATCTAGCACTATTTTGAGATTATGGTCTTAGTTTGTAAATGCACAATGTTAAAATGCGCTAAAAATAAAGTTATAAAAAGTCCTCATAACTTTAGAACGGATCAAGATTTTTTTAAACTAATTACGGCATTGTAATCAGCGTAAAATTTTAGTTTGAAATATTGGGTCACAACCCTACTTTTACATTTGAAAAAAAAACTTTGTATCTAATATGGCGGATCCAAGATGGCGGCCAAAAATGTTTACCCAGTCAAAATGAAGTACTTACTACTCAACAATGATCTGACGTGGTCCGGAGATGATATCTTAAGAAATGTAGAAAAAAGTAGGGGGGGAACTCATTTAAAATTCACCCTGTATATATATGCAAAGAGATTAATCAGAAATAATAGTTACCGTACATCACAGAAGGAAATATGAAGGAATGTGGCTAGTCTTAGCGTGCATTTAAACACCTTCAATCTAAGAGGTGCAATTATTTATACTTTTGGACCTACTGAATTTTGGAGCTAGTTTGATGATCAGCTTTGGGCCTACTGAAATCAGAGCTAATCAGGGGTGCCCAGAGGGGGGGTACTGTGGCGCGTTTGCGCCACAGGAATTTTTGGGGGGGACTTTTTTTAAGAGATTTTGGGGGGGATTTTTAATTTTTGCTAGCTGTCATAATGGCTGTATAATTTTGTACAAGCAGTCCGAAAAAAGTGTTTCTCACTAAAAGTAGCTCACTATCAACACCAACAACATTTTGCCGTTCGTAATTAAGATTGCTTCTAAGAATGGTAAAGCACCTTGTCAGACAATCCTTAACATGCCAGTGTCGAATTTCACATGCTACATATGTTTTGCACATGTGTTTTGACTATTGTAGTGACTGAGAAGAGTATTGAAAATATAATGGGTTTCATAATTAATTGAGTGTTTTCACTCAAAAATCTTGTGCTCTCCCCAATTTTGTGTATTCATATATTTCAAACTCCTCAAAGTATTTAATAAATTTCCTTTCGTGCAGTACTGTAGAATTTCTAGACCATCATTTATATCCAGCATATAAATTGGTTATTATTGTCAATGGTTTTGAATGGAAAACTCAATTATGAATCCCATTATACTTTCAACATACTTTCCTCCGTCACTACAATTAGTCCAATATCAGCTTTTGATAACACAGACGACAATCCAGAGAGAGAGACCACGTCTTTCCGTCATAACCTGATTCAGTTTACTTCAGTTTAGTCCTGCTGACGGTAATATACACGCGTGAATTGATAGGCCTATCTGTAATCGTTTCGTGTTTTGTGTACAAACGGATTATCTGACAAGATGCGTTCCTACCATTTTAGTCATTAAAGGCAATCCTGGGGCTATAAAAATGAATTATAAGATTACTTCGTCACAAAAACCTTTTGTTCTGGTGGCATGGTATTTTGCCCGGCGATTTTTGTAGAAGGCAGCCTGGATGTGGCGAGCAACAAGTCTGACTTATTTCGTGACTCTGCCTATAATTTTTAAACAATTAAGATACTTTATGCCAAAGTATTATTAATACACTTAAAGCTGTTTGATTTCTTAAGCCCTCTAAAAATTAACGCCACCTAATATATTGTAGAGTTACAGTACTGGTTTGGAGTAGAGTAATTCACCGAGTATATTGTTGAACGTGTTGAAGACGTTGTCTATAGCAATACTAAGCACATGTTGGCTGACGATACAAATTCGGAATTTTGTAAATTGAAAAACTTCTAATTCAACGATTAGTTAGATATGTATTGTTAAATTACGTTTCCTATTAAACATTTAATTTTGATTCTCAATCAGCAAGTTTGTTTTTTGTACTGTACCTCGAGTTTACTAAATACTTTAAATACTCGTTTTATGAGGTAAAGGGAAAATTGTCAGATAAATTGGTGGGGGAGGGTAGGTTTAAATAAACGACAACATAAATTGGGGAGGGGAACTATTCATTAGGCTTGGGGGGGGGATTGCGCCTCTGGGTTTAGGGGGGATGGGCACCTCTGGAGCTAATGCCAATGATACATTATGTTCTATAAAAAAGGATAAAAATAATAATTTAGGTTATTTAAAAATAATAATTTTATAAAATTTAGATTTATTTAAAAATAATAATTTTATAAAAGAAAATTGTATAATCCGTATTCAAGCACCCCTAGTTCTATGGAATAGGGATAAAATATTTTGTAGAAAGTAAGAACCCTTGAAATTGTCTACTAGGCCTATATTTGTCAAGAATTGATGATCTAAAGAGAGAAAGAATGGCTTATAGTTGAAAAATGAAAATACTAAAAAAAGTGAAATGAAGTGGAACTTAGTATAATTCAAACAAACACAATGGGTATCAGACAAGTAAATGAAATATTGTTATCTTGTTATCGAAATTTTTCAAATTAAATAAGCTTAATAAAGGATTGAAAAGAGAAAACTAATCTCAGCTTCGATTGAACAACTTTATTGGACACAAATATTTGTTTGAGTTGCTACTGGTTGTTTCTAGGAAGAAGGATCCCAAAGTGAGAGAGCAGGAGATGCTGGAAGCTGTCAGTAGTCCTCTGTTGTCCCAGATAGCTGCAGACCCAGCTACATGGCTGGGGGAGAGCTCCATAGCCATGGTGACTCTGGCAATCATCAAGTCAGCTAAAGGTAACCAATACACTCTGTCTCTACTAACCTGTATTCACTACTGCCCCACCGCTCAAATTTACTGCCTCTGCTGGGGAAAAATAAAGGTTGATTTATCCACCCTAAATCCAAAACTGGTTTGTTCAACCAAAAAACCATTCTGGGAATTTTGAAAGTTTGGTTTCCATTATTTTTGCAGTATTAAGTTACAAATTGTGTCCTTGGTCTAATTTTGTTACCTACCTCATGGGAAACCAAAACATAAAAATGAGAAAAACAGAATAAAGTCTCTGCTTGTTTATGTAGATTTTAAAAAGAGATTGTATGATTGTATAAAATAAATAATTTATACAATTTATTTGAATAACATGCGGAAGATGATCATTTTTTTGCTGCGGTCACAACGACGACGATGACGTTACCGGTACTGCGGGAGACGAAGATGACATTTCCGTGACCACGGGTATGACGATGACAATTCTGTGACCGCGGCAGTCAATGATGATGTATACAAGGCCGCGGAAGATGATAATTTTTTGCCACGATCACGGACGACAGCGATGACATTTCTGTGACTGCGGCAGTCAAATCGTGAAAAATCCATAATTGACTACTTAGAATTTTTCATTGCTGCATTTTATTTACTCAATAAAACACCCTATTATCCACGATTACTAGAAAAATACCGGTATGGACCATAAACATAAACAAATAACATTTTTGGCCCGAAAATAAACATTAACATTGCTTAAATGGAACTGCCAAAACTTATGTTCAATGATATTAGTATAGGATTCGGGCCAACAACGTCATTTGTTTATGTTTATGATCCATACCGGTATTTTTCTAGTAATCGTGCTATTATCTTAATAATCCTTTATGACATAAAGACAGGGGTCAGTGTAGTATAACAAAATTATTTAGAACATTTGGTATAGGCTAACTATAAAAATTAGTACCGTTACCGTATCAAGAATTGAGAATCGATACATTCACTAATTGTTGAAAAAACTAGTCTTGGAAAATCTGGATTTAGTTTTGAAAAGTCTGGAATTAGTCTTGAATTTTAAAATGGAAATAAACGAGACACACTGTAGTCAGGATTTTGTCCTAAAACGAGACATGACGATGATGTCCACACGACCGCGGGAAATAATCAGAATTTGCTGTGACTGCGAACGATGATAATGTATACACGATTGTGAAGAGGATAATGATGTCTACACGGGTGCGGGAGATGATTGGAATTTAGTCGCGATCGTGGTAGACGAGGATGGTACTTCCATTATCACATATTGATTTTTAGAATTTTGCCTCGATCGGGAAAGACAGCGATGATGTTTCTGTGACTTAGGAAGAGGTATTTAGGGGATTTTACAATGATCCCTGTCTCGGAAGACGACGATAACGTCTCCATGACCGTGGGAGATGATCATGATATTACCATGAGTTTGGCTTGACTGAAAATATCAGGCTGGCACGCCTCCAGTTATGATAACATTTTCTGTTTGATTAGATCCTCATTTACCTTTAGTATGATAGTTATTTCATGTGTTTAGAAGGGTTTAAACCTTTAAACTTAAATTGGATAGTCCGAATTCATTGCTGCATTAAATTTATCTTAACATTATAAACACCCCTTTACTTAAAAAAAAAAAATACTTTATGGAACAACATTTAGATAGGGGTTCTTTAGTATAACCAATCCATAAAAAAAAATTGTAAAACCTTAAAAAAAGTTGTATTTGTATTGAGAATTGATTTTTTCATGTATGGGTATCAAGAATCGATACATTTTGGTATTGACATATCACTAATAAAATAAATTGCAGTTATCAATATTTAAAACAAAAACACAACAAATTACAACTAACCTTGTTTGTGTGAGACACTATAGTGGGAAGCTTGATAATGAACTGGTTGGAAACTTAATTTTGTGTTTGTGCTGCATAAGGATGATTGACACTTTCTTTTTGAACCAGTGACAAGGTAGAATTTTTCTGGTTCCTTTTAAGACCTTTTACAGAAGCAATTTTTTGTTTTTTATTTTTGGATTTTTTAAAATACAAAACAGTTATTCACTGGAGGTTGGTCATTCACTGGCACTCTCTACTGATAACTTTGTTGGTATCCACAGAATAAACACTAACCCAGAACTATCAATGAGCAAAACTAAAATATTGTGTTTGAATCTCTTGTGTCTACACCAGAATATCAGAACGCTGCTGTAGCTGGATGGCGGGCTATGTCAGACGTGGGCAGTAATAGAGAGAACTGACTTCACTACACCGTTGCTATCAGTAGCTCTTATATACAAATTAAATGTATGCTAATCAAATCATAGTGACACCAGCAGATTCATTTCATAATTCATACACTACTTTTTTTGGCTCAGTGAGAGTTCTGTTCTGGGTTAGGTCTATATTCTGTGTTGGGAATGCATGAGGAAATACATGAGATTAGTGTTTTAGAATCTAGCAACACTGCTGAACATTGCTGTTATCTGTTATGATCAGGTGATAATGCAAGTAAAGAAGTGTTTGAGAGGCTGGTTGACTACATAATGGACCCTGACAGTTCTGTAGAGGTCAATGACAGGAAGATCCATGTTATAGAGGACAGCGCCTTGCATTTAGTGTTCAAGAAGCTCATTCAGCAACATTCACAACAGATGGAAGCTGACAAAACTCAAGGTAAATCATTCCAAGGTTTATTTTCATCAGAATTATTTTTTACAGAAAAATAAACACTAAAGAATATGTGTGTGTTGATAATTAGATAGAAATGTTTGGTAGCTGAGTTGTTACTGTGCGCTAACTCACACAAAGGCCCCTGGTTCAATACAGAGGAATTTCTGTAACTATTTTTAAATGGTTCAAAACTATACCTAAGCTTCAATGACCATCGCTTTTTTAAAAGGGTAATGCTCCTGGTTAAAGCATCATTGATCTGCAACAAACTACTCTAGTCCATCCGTTTGGCTATGATACCCAGGGGATTAGGAGCCTTCTTGGAAACTCACCCTCCCTGGTGTCAAACAGTTCAATTTACTGTCACATTCTCACAGATATGCAATTAAAGAAAATGTAAGTTAAAATACATTGTTCTTTATATATTTGAGTTCTACATGAAATTCCAAAAATAATGAGCACAACCACAATGTGGATACTTGGATACTTAATATCCACACAGGTAAGTTACAGTATACCGACATCAGCTTTATCTGATTTTCAGATCGTAAATATTAAGTATCCACGTCGTCTTTGGACTCATTATTTTTAGAATTTTAGCACTCAAATATATAAAGAACAATTTATTTTATCTTAAAATAAAAAAGTTACAGATCTATGGGACTGTGACAGTAGGTGAGGAACTGTTTATTAACAGCCAGCCCGGCGAGCGGGTCAGGAGGGTGAGTTGAGTTCCGAGAAGGTTCCTAATCCGCTGGGTATCATAGCCAAACGGATGGACTATAATCAGGCACTCATAGTTGGTGCTGGACTTCATATCTGCACCGTTTTTATCAAAGGCAGTGCTTTGTTAAAAATTTACAATTTTGTATCTGTTGTAAATAGTGTTGTATTTATATATAAACATTGAGAATTCTTTTATACATAAAAACAATTTTCAGGGACGTTTCCAAAAGTTCTAGTGTCGAGGCTGACCGGAAAAGAGCTAAACTTCATGATGCAGTTCAATCGAGGATGCTTTCTTTTGGTTCTGTAAGTGAAAACAATACATTTGATAACTTAAGCCTACATAACAGATAATTCAATGTGCCAAAGCACCACTGAAAGCCTACTCAAATTCATTTTTAGGCTTTCAAGTATCTTAGTTGCTTTTAGAGCGGCACTATTTCATGCCAATGCTGTAAATACTCTCTGAGTCATAGCTTCCTGGCAGTGGCGGTTCTAGGACCTTGTCAAGGTCATTTTGAATTTTCAAAGCCAAAATTGGTGACTTTCTAAAGCTATTTTTAATGCCTAAACCTATGCCCATTTGTCAAAAAACTCCCATGTTTCACCTGTTGAATGTCAATTGAAATTGTCATGAGCAAGTAGACATTTTGAAATTAAAATTAAACATGACGACTGCATTCATGAATTTCAAAACGTACTGTAGACTACGGCCAATCGGCCATATCCTCCTAAAAGCCGTTTGGGTACTTTTATTTGTCATGAACAAGTAGAAATTTTTAAAACTAACTATGACGATTGCATTCATAAATCTCAAAACATACTGTAGGCTACTGTGTCAAAATGTCCAAAAACCTCCCATTTCATGTGTTATTCGTGAGCAAGTAGACATAAAAAAATTTAAACCCCATTAGGAACTTGCATTCATGAATTTCAAAACATACTGTAGACTATGCTGCCATATCTCCTAAAAGCTGTTTGGTGACTTAATAAAGCCATTTTTAAGTATAGAACTGTGCCCAATAGTCCAAAAACCACCCATTTCACCTGTTAAATGTCAAGCAAGCAAGTAGACTTGTTTTTTAACCTTACGTTTTTCTCCATTGCATAGATCTGTCGCAAACCTGTACAGTATCAAATTCAGTAATAGTTTAACTGGTGCTACCGCTGATTGCTGATGCCTGTGTATGTTAGTAGTTAGCAGACAGTTTGACAACTAGGAACATGAAATAAGCTGTTTCTCTGTCCTAGCTGTTGCGCTCGGCACTCGCCTTTGCCCTAGTGGCCTAGCGTGTAAACAGCTGACTGCTGTAAAAATTGGATGATGCGTACAACTTTCCATAGGCTAGTGTGTAATATTGTTTTATTCGTTGTGCTATTGCCCCACAAAGTTTATCCATGTGGAACTTTTCCTACTACTAATTAGGACTACTAACTACTAATCCTGCAATAGCTTATTTAGCTTATTTTTATAACATTGCATGTTTTAAAGACAAATTGTATGTTTAAATTTATTTTTCCTGGAACCGCCACTGCTTCCTGGCTATCCTTACTACTGTATTGTATAGTTTTGTCATCTGATGATACATCATGCATACAATGTCTTTTGGCTGCCGTATTCTATGAGATTAGTAGGTTACGAAAATGCTGTCAAGAGTTAAACAGCTTAAGCCAGGATTTTTCTGATTTTTTAGTGCGGCAGATTGCATTTAGATATATATAAACTAACAGAGTACCCGTCCTTCTTACGGGGTTGGCATCTAATTATAAATGCTTATTGCAGTTATATACCTGAGCTCTGCGTTTGCAGTGGGGGAGGAAGCCATAATGTTACCACTGCACCTAAACAATAGAAACAAGTAAATTATAAATTTTCAAATCCAGGGGGATATATCCATTGACAACTCAAACTAGAAAACTTTGACAAATAAACAATACTTTCTCCATATACTAGGGCATAGGGGGAGAAAGTAAAAATGGGTATTTACCACCTCATTCTATCTTATGACTTATCATACTTCTGTGTGCTTGTTACAGAATGTTTGAGCTGAAATGCAAAGAAATCAACAATGTTCTCAAGAAGAAAATCACAGAACCGATGAAAAAATACCTTCAAAAACAAGAAACAACGGGATCAAAAATATTGTTGAAGAAATTGAATGAAGTGAAATAAATATTCATGTTTTTATATATTTTTTTGATTACCACCTAACAATGATCCCAAAACGTAATTTTGCCATTTAATATTGTTTTACGTGTACTTGTAATACTTTTAATGTTTTAATTGAAATGGCAACCATACAATGGTAGCCAAGTATGATTGGAGATGAGTAGCCTATAGGATGAAAGGTGCGATCTTGTATTCTTGTTAGTTGTGTATGTGGATACGGACTAAGGCCGACTAGCTTAGACAGGACTGTTAATTAATAGCCCATACAGCCAATGGCAACTAAGGGACCTTCAGTTTAGGCCTATAGTGGAATCCGAACCACATTTTTGCTTTTTAATATACAAATTGGTCTAATTATCAGGATAGTCGTAAGCCTCACTAGTGCGGACGTTAATCCACACCAGGGAGTATCGCATCACAGATCATGCCTATTAATATCCGCAATTTGTGACCTCAAAGTAGCTGGTTAGACAAGATAACGTACAACTTAGTACTTCAACTCAACATATTATTTCATAAAACTATTTTTGGCAACTACTTCATTATGAGTAAAATTTTGAAATTTGGGGAAATTTTAAATCTCGTTCTACGAAACAAGATTCTATTTTGGTCAAGATTGTTTCTAGACAAGATAAAAAAAAAAAAAATAAATAAACAAAAAAATTTAAATAAAAAAATGGTTGCAGAAAGTCAATGCAATACCCGCAATACACGAGCGTGTTGATGTTGCGTTTTCATTGTGAAGGCTTTTTATTTAATTATTAATTCTTTACATGGAAATATTGCTTCAATTATTTTATATTTCTTTTTGACATAGCAAATGATGTTTTGTTAATGTAAGCATTTTGAGGCATGTTTTATTACTGTAAACATAGCCAAAATAAGTCACTCCAAAAGCATTCTAAAAATAACAAAAGGCTTAAAAATTGTTGCTTGATACTTAACTAGTAATACTGTTGTTTAAGACTTATAAATTTTATATTTTTCAAAGTTGAACTATATAATAACTGATGTCTCCATGTTTCCTATGCCGAAGTGTTATTTTTAATAAGTTAGGCCTTATTAATATTTTTTTAATACTGATGTTTTTTAATAAAAGATTTTAAATAATTTTTTCATTTATTATTAATTTTGTATTCAACCAGTGTGCCATAAATCAGTAGGTATTTTAAAATTTTAAAAAATCTGCTTAAAATGTGGAACGTGCATTTCCCGTTATGTATGAGAAGGGAAATTATATCTTGATCTCGTCTCAAAATTTTATGAGAAATTAAAAATCCCTTCTCGTCTTGTCTTGAATTAAAAATCCAATCTCGTCCATCCCTAAAAATTACCCCTAAGAATATTGCTATACAATATATCCAAAACAAATATTTTTTTAAAATACCTAGGGCCTATGTAGGCAAGGATTGTGTGTGACTTTAATGTCTGTTTTCTCGTTGGAAGTTTATTTAAAACTTAAAGGTGAAAACTTAAGTTACTTGACTGATATGCAAGTTGCGCTGATACACGTATGAAGATACACTGCAACTACTAGTTTTTAGCAATGTTATTGAAAAACATATTTTTACTACAATACAGTATACTAATCTGTACATCAGTGTAACCAATTATAATAGACTTCTTTCATAGTTTGGTTTTTAAATAAAATAAAAAAAACAATAATTCTAATTTCTAAATACGTAATAATTAATGATGGGACATTTTAAAAGAATTTATTGTTAACTGTTAGCTCGGTTGAGAGTTCTTAAAAGATGGAATAGTTTTCATTCTCTTAGTTACGGAAGACACTGAGAAAGATAAAACACTATTCACTGGGGTAAGCTGACGCAGTCTTTCCTTATCCCTAGACCTTAGGCAAAGTCACGGCCCACAGATTACTGAACTTTTAATTCACTAAGTGGCATTTCTCTATCTGATAAAAACTGATACACCAGGATAATTTATTTAGGCGCACCCTGGAGTGTTACATGACAAAACAACTGCATGACTATACATACAACATACAGTGAACATCAACCCCGATTATTTATACAACAGTCATTCTGCTGTACTTAAAAATGTGTTCATAATCTCTTACCAATGTCTAATATAAATTTAGAGAATAAATGTGCAAAATTTCTTTTTCTTATTTTTGACCCAAAAAATTTTCCAATTTATCTCTAGACCTTTTTAAAGAGATCAAAAAACAAATAATGTTGTATTATCTAAGTGTTTTTGTACGGTTATTAGTAACGGAGAAAAATTAAAAATTTTTAATTTAAAATTCCCATGTTATTCTGATGAAGAATATTGTCAAATTTTGTAGTTTGCTTGTTTATGGATATATTTTTATAAAACTTGGCAAATTTATTTATCTTACATTGGGCTATTAATATTTTACTCAAAAACACGCTTTATTAGTTTCCTGGTAGCAGCAAACCTAGGTACTTGTTAAACCTAATGTTATCCTATATATTAAAAAAATATTGGTCATTTAGTTCACGCAGATTGCAAGACAACCGCTTGACAGATTTTGATGAGTTTTTTTTATTTGAAGCTCATTTTGTGTAGAAGGTCGGGAAGGAGGCAGCATTTTGATTTAGACCTCAGGGCTCTGACCATGGGTCTTCCAAGTTCCCATGTTATTCATAAAATGGAGGAGATATTTATTTGTTATTATTTATGGTTTATCAATACCATACCTATACCATCTGTCAGAACATTTTTATTTAAAACATCTGTCTCAAAATGGTTTTTTTAAGATTAAAATTTTTCTAGGTTAAGCTGTTTTGGAAAACCATAAACTTCTAAAGGGATTTGTGCTTGGCTACTATGGTTTTTACTACTATTTGACACTACACAGCTTATTTATGTATGTAAATTTTGTAATTTTCTATTTTCTTTCTTTTAGGAATATGTATCTTGGATTTTTACTTTATGAATAAAGTATACCTACCCCTTTTTGGTGACATTTGGACGCCTCTTCATATGGAAAAAGTTTCATGCCTCATATGCAATCGAATATTTCATCTATGGAAGGTATCTCAATGATTGTATCAAGTACGCCATTCAACAGATCAATCAAAGTTTTTACAGCTTCTCTAATTTATTTTACAAAACATTGCCCAAGCGAAGAGCGGTCCAAACAGTTGGTTTAAATTTAATCGAAAATCAATTCAGACAAATGAAAATTCGCATAGTCGGCAGGTTTGCTGCGGCGGAGGTATTGATAATTTACTGCATGTTGTATAGTAAGTTAGTTGTAAAGTTATTTCTATTTAAACTGGACATTCAACAGATATCAAATACAACTCAATAATTGATCTTTACAAGTGGTCGTACTTATGCGCATATAGGTATCAAATGGGCTATTTAGTAAAATAGTTTCGGTAAACAATGTTACACCACTTTTATTCCAATGTTACCGTATTCTATATAATCAAATCAAATTGTCTAGTTTGGTTTCTCAGTTGAACTAATTCTTTAACCATTTAAATTCTGCCCTTGTAGCTGCTGACTCGGCTCATGTTCCCTCCCAATAAGATCTTGATTGCTCGAGTTGTAAGACCAACTCCAACCAATCAGCACACTCATAGCAAGTGTGTTTTTGGAATTTTTAACGTGTGGTACAGTGCATCTCTAAATCTGGTAACTACTACTTAAGCAGTCTGTGACGTATTACATTAACACATCAAACTCATCATATTACCTCTTAAAGGGACTAAACATGTTATAAAGATCAGAGGTGCCCATCCCCCCTAAACCCAGAGGCGCAATCCCCCCCCCAAGCCAAAGGAGTAGTCCCCCCAATTTATGTTGTCGTCTATTTAAACCTACCCTCCCCCCACCAATTTATCTGACAATTTCCCTTTACCTCATAAAACGAGTATTTAAAGTATTTAGTAAACTTGAGGTACAAAAAACAAACTTGCTGATTGAGAATCAAAATTAAATGTTTAATAGGAAACGTCATTTAACAATACATATCTAAGTAATGGTTGAATTAGAAGTTTTTCAATTTACAAAATTCCGAATTAGTATTGTCAGCCAACATGTGCTCAGTATTGCTATAGACAACGTCTTCAACACGTTCAACAATAGGCCTATACTCGGTGAATTACTCTACTCCAACACAGTACTGTAACTGTACAATATAAAGGGTGGACCAAAAAAACAGGGACAATTTTAAAATGTTATTACTCAGCTGTTATAAAGGCTGGAGAGTTCATTGATGCGGCAAAAGAAAGTTTATTTGATGCCATTTAGTGTATAGTTACTATGGATCATCAATGGTTACCACAACATCGTGCCTTTGTCATAGAGACCTTTTTTGAAGAATAATTTGACTTTCATTTCTACTCAAAGTCAATTTCGTGTTCACTTCAACTTTGGCTGTAATGGTGCAGCCCCAAACCGAATTAACTACTCAAAGATGGGTAAACAATGTCCTAAACATGGCTTTTATACTCAAAATTAAACCTATGCAAATTTAAATTTCAATGCAATGTTTTGCAAACGGTTGGCTTTGGACGCTCGACGCAGGACACTCGCGCAAACCATTTCAATGTTTTCCGGCGTTCGAATAGTGCAAGGTATCTTACTAGGTTTGACTTTGAGTGCAGAAGACGTGTTCTGGAAATTACTTACCCAACTTTAAATAGTTTTTCGCTTTGGGGTTGCACCATTACGGCCAATGTTGAAGTGAAAACGAAATTGAGGTTGAGTAGAAATGAAAGTCAAATTATTCTTCAAAAAGTCTCTATGACAAAGGCACGATGTTGCGGTAACCATTGATGATCCATAGTAACGATACACTAAATGGCATCAAATAAACTTTCTTTTGTCGCACCAATGAACTCTCCAGCCTTTATAACAGCTGAGTAATAACATTTTAAAATTGTCCCTATTTTTTTGGTCCACCCTATATTAGGTGGATTTAATGTTTAGAGGGTATTAAGAATTCAAACAGCTTTAAGTGTATTAATAATACTTTGGCAAAAAGTATCTTAATTGTTTCAAAATTATAGGCAGAGTCA